CGAAGGTATAAATACAACCAGTCCAATTTAAGATAAAAGCGATATTATTTTATTTTTACGAGCGATATCCCCAAATTAAATCCAATTAAATCTAGTTAAATCCAAAGCACTCACATGTATCTGCTTTCATGCGCTTAGACTAACTAGAGTTTCGCGCTAATAACATTTCAGACCAAAATCTTCTGATAATCTTGGCGTGCTCTGATAGTAAAATAGGCAAATTACCCTTTTTTTACCTTTGAATCAAATTACTTTGTGCTCTTTACGTAAAATATCCTATTCGAGGCTATGGAGTTACTAGTTATCATGATTCATACATAGTTACAGAAGTAACCTGCAAGCGGTGAAGTTCCCCGAGCTTTTACTGTGAGATAAGCCCTTGGAGCTTGGAACCTGAGTGTTTCACCTTACTATCTTATTGTTTAAATCAAAAAGGGAAATTCGAGATAATTACTCCTTATTGTGAGTCAAGGATGTGGAGCCCTGTCTGTTAGACGCCACCTGGGCACTACTTATCTCTCTCTTCGCGTGATTTAGCCTCACAACGGAAGGATCTGACCTCGGGTCATTGGTGTCCAATGTCTACACCTAACTCCCTAGCTTTAATGTCTCCACAATCTAGCTGACTCGTATTATATAGTCATGCTGACAAGATTTGAACGACTTTATCTGGAATTATAATATTCTTTGGGTGGTGTACGGAGTAGATGGACTTGAAAAGGAAAAGCCAAGCTTCTGGAGCCCAAAGACGGCAAATCCCCAGATCCACTAAACCCCATCTGTCAGTCTCTCCGCACTCTACCCGTGGGTGATAGTCGATCATTACCCAATCAGAAAACTTCGGGTGATAAGAAAAATAAATCCCACCCGTAGACAGTTTCCTCCGGTCCTCCACCTGGGCAACATGGCGAATCTTTCTTCTAGAATACTTTATTACCGCAAGCTGGTATTCTAGGTTTGCACAAAATAATCTTAGAAACATACTAACTTTACTCAACAATATACTAATGGACGGAAGGGCCTTTCGGTTGTCACCCCTTGCATATGGGAAGGCTTCCCGACGGACCCCGTTCCTGTTGCGTGCGCTATGGGCCACACAGGGAGACCACACAGGGAGATGCGTGCAATGCCATATGGCCGGAGCAATTTGCCCCACTGAGGCTTATTCGCAACCTTTCACAATTGATTTTCTCTGGCAGTCACCTCGGTACAAAGTATAGTCTCCTGGGCTTGGGTACGTCTCTTGGCTTGGGTGGTGAGAAAGACAGACGACATGTTGTGGATATTCTAGGAAGAACCGCCTAGGCAGGGTTCGCCGCTACCGCCTGACATGATCTCGAGCGGTCCACTGGGATAAGGGATGGCGCCATGAAACTCTATGCTCAGGCGTTCTAAGCGAAGAGTTTTCCATCGTGGCGGTCTGCCACTGATATGCATGGAAGAACGGGAGAAGCATACCAGAAAGCTAAGAGGGTGTGCTTGGGAGATACTATCATGCGGTGCTCATTAGAAACCCGTGTAATGATTGGCCTGGTGTCGGCGAGTTAGGCAAGACCGTCGTATTTTTCTCGCTGGGCAACTGCAGAACACATCAATCAGCAAGCTCTGGTAGGCCCAAGATCCTCGCATCCTGGGGTCCACCAACGGTGGACCAATAGTTGGATTTGGGAATCCCTGTCAAAGATTCATCACACTTGGTGACCAACCTTGGCATGAATGTTGCTATTTCAAGGTGTTCATAATCATAATCGCGACATCCCAGCTTGAGAGAAGCTCTTCGAGGGCAAGATCGAAATGTAAGAACGGACCCACAGCTCTTATCTTTCATGTCTGCAATGCGGGTCAAGCACATCAGCAGTTTCTTAGATAAGGGCACCCACAAAGTGAGACTCTAAACTCTAGCCCGCGCAACCCGGTCAAATAATAAGGGGGCGAGGGAAAATAAAAAGCGCACCAGAGTTCTCGGCCTTGAGCTGAATTGGATTGAGGCTTGACTATCAGCCACTTAAGCCTTCCCAAACTGATGGCGCGCAGTAGCCAATTTTACTGGCCACGCTCCCGTAACAGATAGCCACTGTAACATCGGGTGGATTGGCATTCATGTTCCGGTGACTAGAGCAAAAGCTGATTCTCTTTCGTTGAGGGTTAGCGGCTGCGCCCGGACAATAGTCCAACGCGTAGAGTACGTTGTACTGCAACCTACCTAAATAGGTTCCCATGTGAAATCTGTCGGTCATATCTGTACTTTGTAGCACAAAGTTGGCTCTTCCATGGATACACCCGTGCATCCTTTCAAGGTTATTTGTTAGGTTCCAAGATTGAGCATGAGAAGTTAACGGGTAATACCCCGCAAAATGTCCTCTGTACGATGATCGGAGTACTCCGTAGCATTGTTACCCATTTGAGGTCACTAAAGCCGAGCAAGATCCCCAGAAAGAGCACAGCCCAGGCCAAACAGCACGCGATACGCATCGGGATTTTCGCCACCGCCACGGAATGGCCCGGCTACCCCAGGTTGGTTTCATAAAATATAATAACTATCCTCCATAAATTCCAAGGTTTGTTCTATATTTTTTCTCGGTAGGTTAATAATTCCCAACAGCCAAGTCGGAGCTCCCCATTTAGGTGCATGGGGGACTTGGTATTCCACAATTTGTCTTACTCCGAGACTTAACTAAAAAAAAGGACTGATAGAGACGAATAGAATTAGTCTATCAAAATAAACATGTGGCAATGTAAACCTGGTGTCGATATTAGGTGCATATAAAATGCGGGGGTGACAATCTGTTAGGTAACAGTTTCCACATAGTCTACTTTGGAGTCTGGGGAAACACGGCACAAAGAAACACCGCTGCTTTCAGCATTTGGGGGGGGCGGAATTGGGGAAAGTGAATACTTTGTATTCGAATAATATCCCTTATTATTCATGGACAGTTGGTACTGCATCTTCAGCACGTCCTTGGAAACCCGCGCGCATCGTGACCCCTTTTCCTGTCTCTGGCTAAGGCTGCCACTTTCCTGGGCAGCTTATCTTGCTTTAAATTGGCCATTGAAAGCTTCTCGAATATGTATGTTATCGTGAGTTAGGGATGGCTCGAGTGTGAGTTCTACACAATAGCGCTAGCACCGGGCCGGTCTGTCCAGATCTACAGAGTACGTACTTCGTAGGGGCTATATAACTACCAAATAAAGTGCCCCAGATGGTCAGTGAGTATCCTAATTCGCTACCTATTAAGTTTCGTCACACTAGTACCGGGCCGGTGTATACCCAGGTCTCGGAGCTCTATATGGAATAAAGTACACCGGATGATCACCTCCTAATGAGGTACTTGTTAAGTTTGGCCACCATCATTAATCTCCACTAACAGCAGTTGACTGACTAGCGATTGAACACGCTGAATGTGGGGTAGTTAAGGCGATTTGGAGTTCCTTTCGCTACATCGTGCATCACGATATCCACGAAGAATTGCCCGATCAGCACGCAGCAGCGGCTTCTGTTCGTATCGACGAGATGGTTTTAGATATTGCTAATAGCCGGTTACAAAGTTTAAATATCCGTTGATACCCTGACTTCAGGCAGAGACGGCTTGTGGTTGGAGAGCTTATCTAGGACCCCTGGTTGCCCAGAGGTCTTTTGTGGGCAAGTTCCTGCATGCTTCACTCCGTATATCATTGGAGGCTGCAACTAGTCCGACTATAGTGTGGAATACGATCTTGGATTGTGAGTAGCCATTACGGAGTACTGCAATCAATATCATGTCGTGGAAAGAACAGTTTCTCTTGGGTGTTGTTGGCAACATCTTCTTGGTCTTTCTTCTACGCCGAGCTACGCGCTATCCGAGACACGAGATGAAGGGGGAGAGACGAAAAGCACGCTTGGCATGGAGGTTCATTCATTCAACGATTTTGTTCTATCTCGTTGCATTTGGTATCATTAATACACAAAGTTTTATTTTCGTCAGGGCAATAACTCAGTATCTCAAGCTCATGAGCTTGCCACGGGGCCTTCACCACCGGGAATCAACTGACCGAGGAGTTAATAAAGCGCCGAGATGGCATCCAGATGAAATTAACTTACCATGCAGATATTGTTTCCATTCAGCAAGAGCTTGGGGAGCTTAATTTGGGCACCGGTGTAGTCGCTGAGAGGAAGTTAGTCCAGGGCTCGATTACAAGAGTGACTTGTCGAGAATTTCGACAGTAAGTTGCAAATCCAGATGGAGATCAACGAGCACTGCTTAGGGGCGTAGGAGCCAAGGCATAGCTCAAAGCTAGAAATCCAAAAAAAAAAAATCAAAGCACGTACAACTCTGTCACGTCTTCCATAACCATGTCTATATCGAAATTAGTGCCTGATGAGATCGTCACTTCTTATACAGGGATACTCACTGACGTAGTCATCGAATCCGAGCAAGGTCCCGGAGAACTCTTCATAAGCATTAGTACGCTGATTTAGTTTCAATATGAACCACTGAATTTTAGCTGACCTTTGTCACCTTTCATGACAACCCAAATCCGGGAGCCAACACACTTATCAATGAGCTCTATCAAATGAGTTAGCGGGGTCATGGTTTTCTTGGGTTCATTAGGCACGGACCGAGAGGAAGCAACTGAGAGGCCATGATGATGGGAGGCCAAAAATATGGTCACTGAATAAAGATTTTCTTGGGTAAGGTCTTGATTTAAAAACAAAGATGATCGAGCATTCCGCGTGGGCAAGATCGATATAGAAAAGGACGTGATTGTTCGTCGCTCGGCACCTCTGATGATCCGGCCCGAGCGACTAAGCCAAATAAGGTTTAGAGGCAACCCTCAAAGTTGATTTGCGCGCTTGGAGCTCCGCAAGATGGAGTGCTATCCTGACATTGAATTGACTTTCTATATGCAGTCTTGTTGATTGCTCATAGACTGAGCCGCCACTTCTTGTCCGTTGAATCTATCATATCCGATTGCTTCGTGGGCTTTAGGCTAGGCCACTATGCTTGTTATACATTATGCCAATGCGGCCAAATCTTTTAGCAAGTCGGAGGACCCCATCTTCGATTGCAAAACATAGCGGTCACCTCAACAGATCCAAATCCCATGGGTCACTGCGACGGAGACTTTTTGACCAGCGGCAGTAAGCACACGTCATTGTGTCTAGCTTCAGCACCTATTTTTCTAACTAAACTACAGTAGCCCCAATACTTCCGCCCGACCTGTTCCAACGCTCCGACAAGCTTTTTTTCCGAACACAAGCTCCCCGTACATCCCGATCGTGACCTCCCAACCAAAGCGGAACTTTTCCAACAGCCCTCGCAAAGAAGGCATATGGGATGACGACGATGAAGTCCCAGAACCAAACCCCGTGAAACAGATTCCAGGGCGGCCGGCCTTTGTCCGCCCTACCCGACATCGAGACCTAGGCAGCTTGGTTCGATCGAGAGTAGACGGGAAAAATAGAGTTACTCAACGTCTGCGCATCGAGAAGGATTTCAATTCCCTGCCTTCATATCAGGAACTTGTTGGGAGTTTTATCCAATTGAAGTACAAACATGTTGATGACCTTCTTGATGAATCCCTCAAGGCCAGCCTAGCCTATGAATCCGAATATTCAGCTCTCTCGTCAATATTTCAAAATCGAATCAATGATGTGGTCTCACGGATAACAAAACAGGTTCTCCATGCCGAAAAGACCACCCAAGAATGTGTGACTGAATTGGAGGGTCTGTCAAGCTTTATCAGCGCGCACATTGTAAATGTGGTCTCAGACCACACAAAAAAAGTTCTACAAGCAGAGAGGATTACTCAAAAGTATATCGCTGAAGTGATACATCTATCATCTTCCATTCTGGGATTGGACCGAATACAGGCTGCTGTCACGAAAGCAGAGAATACCGGTCGAATGATTGATCATGACTTCTGCTGCATTGTTTTTGGAAGAACTCCAGAGTGGGAAAGAAACCTGGAAATATCTGGCCAGATGATCCATGGTTGGAAGGAGTCTCTTCGTACGACTCAAAAGACACTCCTACCAGCTCTGGTCGACATTTCTGAGCTGTCCACCCGTCGGTTGAGAGACACTCTCGAAAATGATTACGTACGTCCCCGGAATACCGCAAGAAGTCGAATTGATAGATTTCTCCATGAAAGCAAAGTGATTCAGAAGAACTACAACGAGTTGCAACTGAAACGCCTTAACACACAAATTTTCCCCATCAGGGACCTTTGCTTGGAGCTTCAAAAAAGTCCGAACCTTCACCCAACCGATAAATGGGTGTTTGGCCAGTACAAAGAAATCCTTGAGCAAAGTGACCGCGAGCTCCGTATATGTGCGCATTATCATCGTGGATACTGGCTCAGAAGGCAAGAGGCTTTGCGTCCACTTCGACGAAGTGAACTATGGAATTTGAAGGATGTCATGGCCGCAGCTTCAGATGCACGTCCCAACAAGGCTACCGACAAGCAAGTCTTACTTGCGCTTGCGCTGGGTGCCCAAAAGGACTCACCGGCAAGTCAGTACTTAGTCAACAATTCACTCATGATATCCAACAAGATATATCTCGAATACAAGGATCTTTGGATGCCAAAACCCGCACGCAGCCCTGAGCTACATATCTACTGGCGACAGCTGGATGTAATAGCGCCACTGCTCATGACTGATGTTCTCACGTGGGGGCTTCAAAATGAAGTTTGGTACCTCTACCGCAGTCTCAAGGGTGATCTTGGGACATTGTGGACTTGGGTCCCAGAGGAGACTATGGAGCATGCTGTTCCAAAAATAGCCGACTGGTGCATGGAATTCCAGAAACATCGCAGCGATCTTCGACAAATGTTCACTGAATACAGACATCTAAACTGGCTGCGTCTTCAATCAGAAACATTGCTACACTCCATGGGACAACGTGTCTATCTTGCTGGAAAGTTTGAAGTCCTCAATCCGATGAGCCAGGATGTCCGTGGCTTCAAGAAATGGACCGCTCGCATGGGCCAGCTCACTTCTGACGCTTATATCCCCATAATGGCCCTCCGGCAGACGCGAACGGATTGGCAGTTTATCCACGACAAGATTAATCGCAAGACCGGGCGAGCTTATTCCTTTATCCCCCACATTTTAGAACTGGGTTCTTCGACGAATAAGACCTGGCGTAAGAAGGGACGAGAGGAATCCGAATCTCCCAAGGCCAAGGCCGCATTTATCAAATCATCTCAAAGCCGCCTTTCAAGATATATGAAAGGAAAATTGTCAGGCCATTCCGAGTCTTCGCCTGCCAGTCAGGGCAATCAGGAGCCCGGTCAGGCTGTGATACCCACGAAAAGTTCCTTGGGAAGGGTAAGGCAGATAATGAAGAGGAAAGCTGGACCTCAGCATGCAGCCGAGTTAGCTACTAACCAAGCCAGTCAAGAAGACAGCCACCTCGGACACAACCTATCTCTGAATCCTTCAACAATAAAAGCCGAGGACCACACAACAGTGGACACGCTTGTATCTGAACCACTCCCCGCCGATGTGTCTGCTGGTCAGGACAGTCAGCAGGACAGTCAGCTCATCTATAAGCCGTCGCTCACACGCCGGGAGAGAAGATTGAGCCTCAAAGTGCCTGAGCCCAACCCGTTCCTAGAGCCCAATCCGTTCCTAGTCAATGCGCCTGCCCGCCAGACAAACAAGGAGGCCAGACGTGTCATCTACAAGCCGTCACTCACACGCCGGGAGAGAAAAGCGAGCCTCAAAGCGCCTGAGTCCAACCCGTTCTTAGTAAATGCGCCTACTAGCCAGACAAGCCAGGAAGGGAGCCAGGTCCTCCCCAAGCCACCGCGAATACCCTCGAAGAGCAAAGAGGTGGGCCCCAGCTCGGAGCCACACCTTAATGGCCTCCATCGATCAATTCCCAGAGAAGCCAGCAATGCATCCCCAAGCACACGGACACACAACGGACTACGGCCGGCAACCATGCTGCCGAGGAAATCATTCCCTAAACAAGATTCAAACGGTGGGAGAAAGTATAGTACGGATGCAACTTCCCACCAGACACGATTTCGACAAAGCGATTCCCTGTCCGACCGGTCAATTGAAACCGATATTTCCTCGGTCCCGGATACCGCGACCGGACATGAGGCAGGATTGATTGAAGAGGATGACTCCAGAGATGAACCAATCCCATCTTCGACACCCCAGTTTTGGAGCCATAGCTCACAGCACAGTCCCGATGGCCGGAAACTCATCGTGCATTATTGCCGGACCCTTCAAAGCACCGAAGAAGCTGTGCAGCACTTCCTCGGAAGCAAAGTCCTCGGATTCGACATGGAATGGAAGGCTCAAGCGTCCGGCTGGGACAGCATTCAGAGCAATGTCTCGGTGATCCAAATCGCAAACGAGGAGCGTATCGCCATCTTCCAGGTTGCGCTCTTCAAGCCTGCACGTTCTCTGGAGGACTTGGTTTCCCCATCATTGAAACGCCTCATTGAATCTCCCGATGTCATGAAGGTGGGCGTTTCAATCAAGGCAGACTGCACCCGGCTGCGCAAGTATCTCGACATCGATGCTAAGGCCACCTTCGAGCTCAGCCATCTGTACAAGTTGATCAAATACGGCAAAGACAATCCCAAATTGGTGAACAAAAGGGGCGTCAATCTCAGCGAGCAAATAAATGAGCATTTCGGTCTTCCTCTTGAGAAAAGTGATGATGTCCGCTGCAGTGATTGGACTCGGGCTTTGAGTTATCGTCAGGTTCAATGTGAGTACTTAGAGGCCTCCACAATCTCTCTCCTGATATGCTAATCTTGTCTTTCCCTATCTAGATGCTGCTACGGACCCGTATGCTTGTGTTCGTCTGTTTCATACCATGGACGCGAAAAGACAAGCCATGAACCCAATGCCGCCTCGTCCTGCGTTCGCTGAACTCAACCAGCCCATTGTTCTTCCGCTTGGAGAAGCAGTCAACAGTGAGGAGGACCCAGTGGTCTGATCAAGTATATATGCATACATGTAGTTACATTTGGCCTCTCCTAAATACCCCCATTCTTTTTGTTTTGCACAACCTTTGGAGCATATGTTTGGTACACCTTTGGTCGGAGACATCTTTTGCTTCCTTTCTTTTTTTTTTTTGGTATGATATTTTGTGTCTTGCATTCTTAAACGGCGTGCATACTTGCATTTTCTGCATTGTACCGGTGAATGTATATTAATCGGCTGACCTATACCAAGATTCAATCGAACCTTACAGTCCATGAAAAATAATGCTCGAATAAAATAGAAGAAAGGGGGTATATATTTATCCAAAATAAGTGTATACATATGTATCGGTAGTGCCAATCTCTTCAGCAATATACATGAAGACCATGAAACACTAGCCTAAACCTTATCGCCTCAATTAACCACATAGCTACCCTCTCAGAGGAAGCACCTTAGACAGTAAGACCTCCTGTCGGCAGAGCGGACACTCAGGCTTTTCACGAACCCAGTCCCGAACACAAATCCAGCAAAACACATGTCCACAGGTCGTAACACTAGGATCCTTGAACATTTCCAGACACAGGGTGCACTTCCGCTGCTGACCCTCAGGGATCCACGAGACAGCGCCAGGATCTTCCTCGAGATCATACAGAGGCACAGACGCAGGAAGAAGAGGAATAGCCGACGGGTTCTGAATCGAAGTGAGAACAGGCCCACCCTGCCCAGGAGACTGGCCAGCATCGGCAGACAAGCTCTCATCTTCATTCATGCTGGCGCCGAGTTTGCGAGCGTGCAGGAATCCCTGCACAGCGATCTGGAGAACAAGCAACACACCCAGAACCTCGTATCCGATGCGCTGCTCATTGTCATCGATCTTCTTTGAGAAAACGTAACGCAGACTCCAGAGTCGCTTGGAGAGATGGTAGTACGAGCCCGTGAAATAGAAGGTCGCAATGCTCAGCGCATAAATAGGCGACAAAGATGTGATGGAGTCCAGGTGTTCAAGGATATACTGCTGGATGCGCAGTTTTGTAAACAACGGCCGTTTGGTCGGGGTTGTTGAGAACTGGGGTTTGTTGAGCAGGCCAGCCTGCTGCGCCGCTTGTAACTGCTGGCGTGCAATGTTGCGCTCGAGCTTGCTGCGGATTCTCTGTCGTAGCGCGGGTAGTAGTCGCTGCAGTGCCCATGGTACTAGGATGCTACTTAGGATGTACCCGACGCGGCGGCCCATTGATGGTAATTGGAGGGTGTCATCTTCTAGTTGTACGAGGTCGCAGTATTCTTCGCCTAGGGTGCGGTTGCCGATGGCGGTTGTTAGGGTGAAGTAGAGGAGTTCTGTGAGGTGTTTGATGGCGTCGGAGTGAGTGTGGGCGTACCGGGCGCCGCGGAGAGCCCGGACAATGCCTTGGGATTGTTGAATCAGGCTGCCTGTAAGAAATGAATCCTTTTCATGCGATCGGATGATGTCTGGTGAGGTTGCGAAGGGGTAGAAGTGCGAGGTAGATGAGCCGAGGGCTGGGTTCGGGTTCGGGGTTGATAGAGAGAGATGAGAGTCGTCGTCCGCCATGACAGATTGTAGGGTGTGTGTTGATAGGGATATGAATTAGGCTTGAGGGTAGTGGTAGATGTTATTTACTAGCCCAGTGCATTTGCTAAGACGAGTCACAGGCTCAATTCCCCAGCTTTCATACTTAGAGATACCAACTTCCCCGGAGTTGTCCTCGGATGTCATGCCTCGGTATAGAAATGGATCATGTGACCTGACTAGATCAAGGTCACCTGATTAAGGTGGATGGATTAATTACCATATTACATCATTTGTTACATCTCCAATACTATAATTACCAGAATTACCTAATTACCATACAGACGCAAGCGTCCCACATGTGGTACTTGGGAGGTACCTTGGCCTGAAGGGAGATGAAAGCGGGAGGCTTGCAGTGGTTCAATGTACCTGATTTGGTACCCCCTTTTTGTGCAGAAAGGAGATGTCCAAATTGGTCAAATTCAAGTTAGTTGTGTATGGAGAGTACCTCTGTAGTTAAGTAGATAGTGATGACATACAACATAATAATGTGATCCTTGGGGCGACGTAAGTAGTTCCCATAAATGGGATTTTGATCTTCACTTCTCCTGAGATGTGCTTCTAATTAGTGCTAATTATACCCATTATACCTATTAAACCTATTAAACCTATTAAACCCATTATAACCCAATCCGACCTGTGGGGTTCCAGACCGGACTGTGACTAGTCCAGGTGCGTATTCTCCAGGGCTTCAGGGCTCCAGGGCTCCAGATCTCTCTCCGCTCCGCTTATTAAACTGCTTCAAAAGTTTCAACTTCCTTTCAAAGAACGTTCGACTCAACCCCTAGTCATTCTTTTTTTTGGTATAAGGGGTTCTTTGTTATTACCAGCCTTCCCTTTTTTTCCTGTGATCTTCTCCTTTCCCCCCCTGATCAATGGAATAATGGCGGTTGATCAACATGCTCAATTGGATGCCTTTGGGCTGATCTTCCCATTGCCGCTACGTATAGCCGCTATCTTGGTCGCTGGTGGGTGACATTCCTGTCTGAGATGTTGAATCCCATTCAGGTGTGTGGGCTAACAGAAGGGATTAGGTTTCTGGGGATGGGGTATCAACCTTCAATATCTGGCTAAAGCCAACATTGTAAGTGGTGTCCCTCATCTAACCATCGTATCCCCGACGGCTAATCAGATCCCACCCATACTTCCAGGACGTTCCGGCGCTCATCAAATATCCTGCCCGCGCATCCTCCTCCCAACGCCCACATCACACCGCCGTCTATCGTCTGGCCACATGTTTCACCATCCCACTTGCCCTGTGGTTTATCGTCTTCTCACTAGCCACCCACCGGTCCCCTGAATTGGTAGAGCATCTGGACTGGATCCCACAGTCGGTGTTCATTATCCTCCTCCTTATTCTGATCTGGCCCTTCAACCGCGCCTCTCGTTCCGGCCGCATCCGATTTCTCCTTACCCTCAAGCGGATCAGTATTGGTGGTCTAGCCGAGTCTCAGGATGGCAAGTTTGGGGACATTCTGCTGGCAGATGCCCTAACTAGCTATGCTCGCGTGATCGGAGATCTGTATATCAGTTTCTGCATGTTCTTCACCGATGGCTTCGCCGCTACTTCCAAGCCCAACCGGGCCTGCGGAAGTGACATTGTCGTTCCGATCATCCTCGCAGTTCCCAGTTTGATTCGTCTTCGGCAGTGTTTGACTGAATATGTTCGTGCACGGCGGACAGCCACCCGGAGAGACACACACAAGGTCAACCAGCACTTGGCCAACGCCCTCAAATACGCAACTGCGTTCCCCGTCATTTGGATTGCCTCCAAAATGCGCAACTATAACCCCTTGGAGCTTCGTGGATATAGCGAGGTTAGCATGATGCGACTTCTGTAAGATTGTATTCCCCATACATTATTATATCTATGCTTTTCTCTAACACCCCACAGATTTGTCGTCTCTTTTATCAACTCTGGCTACTCTTTCTGGTGGGATGTTGTCAAGGATTGGGACATGACTCTCTTCTCCCCTCAACGTCGCGACAGCGCCCACCCATACGGACTCCGCCGATATCGCTACTTCGCATCCGACAAGATGTACCACTACGTCATTATCGCAGATCTGGTCCTTCGTTTCTCATGGCTATGGCGCATCGTCCCAGGCCTCGGCTGGATTCCAGAAACGGAAAGCGGAATATGGTTGCTCATGTTCCTCGAAGTTGTACGACGTTGGATGTGGGTATTCTTCCGGACTGAAGCTGAATGGAGTATGTTTTCCACCCCTGTGCACCCGCACTCCCCCTGATCTCGTCGATATCCTGGTTTTCGGACATTTCTACTCACACTGTTGTGCCCTAGTTCGAAATACCCACGGCCCAGGCCCAGATGATGTCCTCCTTGGCGAATACAACCACAAATTCGACGCGGACTAAATTTACCTATGTGGCTTTTTTTTTTATCTTAGATCATACCTTCAAACGATGACACAGAAAAACTCTCCCTCTCAACCCAACACAACGGCTGAGTCTTCGGGCATATTCTGCTCCTCCCCCCAACCAAACTCCGGATATCCCTACCCAATCCAATCCAATGCTAGAGCAGCGATAGATGAGGCTTGAGCTTGACTCTCGTTCTTTTTTTTTTTTTTTTCTGGCGTATGTGAAATCATCTCATCACGCCCTTGTACGCCTATTGTTTTCTTTTGGGAGGCTCAATTCAGCTATATGTGTGTGTAACCTCATACACAATGATTTCTTAAATTCCTTGGACTTGGATCTCTGGACCTGTGACAACCATGACTTTCTTCTTTTTTATTTCTCTCTGGATTCCTGTTTACTGTACCAATACTTACACCTAGGGTCAACCTGGTCTGACGTCTGCATCTACCCTGCCTTTGTTTCCCTCTTTACATATACCATTATCCCATTGGATCGCAATCCTGGTCTTTTATTTCTTTTTCCTTCGTTTCTTCTCGGCGCTCAGCTGTCGGGAGGTCTAATTGGGTGTTAGTGTGTTGGATTAATGACCTTGGGGCTTTGGTGATTGACGAACCTAATGATTGAAGACTCGAATTCAGTTGATAGACACATCGATATTTTATTAGACGGTAACTAGTAGCATTTGGTGCGAGTAGAAAGTTGAAGCCGTAGGAAGTGTGTTGCATTATCACGAGCTTCCTGGGCCGGCCGTGTTATGAACTCACAACCGACCACCTGAGTTGAGTATGTGAAATAGGCCCAGTGGAGGTTACAATATTAAGAATTTGAAGAAAAGGGATAAGCCATGAGTGTTGATCTAAAAGAAAATAGTCCATTGACTTCTAAACAATAACATGACAAAGACAGACTCGTTGACTTCGTGCAAATATCCTTCCCACGCAAGGCGAGACATAAGAAATAGAAACACAACCATAGACAAATATCAGGATAAATATCCAGGCGGACCAGCCAAATAGGCCTCTGACCTATCCATGCTTCTCTTCCGTTGCCATCTCCTTCCTTTTTCTCCCGCAACCATTCATTGAAATTCAGCTTCACCTCACTTCACCTCATGTCGCTCATGCCATACATGCTTGTTAAACATTTGAATATGTTCACACTAGAACAACATCCACATATTGCCGCGCCCTTTTATATAACGTCATGCTAGTCCGAGGGGGGCTGATATGGACCCCCGGAGAAGCAGATGAGGGCTAGGACTGTTCATCAATCCTTCAAAGGTCCTTCTTGATGACGTGGGCCTTGGGAAGGGTACCAGCGCGGTCAATGGCGTTCTGGCGAGCTCCAGCAAGACCGTGCTGAGTGTCGATGCCGTCAACACGGTGGGTGGAGTTGATGTTCTTGACTAGGGTAAGCTGCCAGCAAGTGGCACCACCCTGGCGGGAAGTGATAGTGGAGGAAGCAAGGAAGTACTCCCAGATCTAAAAAAAGTAGTGGTTAGTAAAACAAGAAAGCGAATCGACCTCGGGAAAACCGAGGACTCAGTGAAAGAAACTTACGCGGAACCAGCGCTTTCCGTACTTGGCCTCGACCTTGTCGCGGTTGCCCATCCAGTTCCGGTACCAGCGCCAGAGGGTAGCAGAGTAGTGCACACCAATGGTGTCAACAGCCTTGACCTCAAAGCCAGCGCCCTCGAGGCGGTCCACAACAAAACCGAGAGGAGTACTGGCGTCAGCACCGGGGAAGATGTATTTGTTCATGAAAAGACCCCAGATCAGGTCCTCGTATTGCCAGGACTTGCGGAGACCAGCGATCTGCAGGAAGAAAGTACCATTGTCGTCGAGCATGTCGTAAACCTGGGTCAAGAAAGAAGACAAGTGGCGGACACCGACGTGCTCAGCCATCTCGAGACAAGTGATGTGTTGGTATCCACCCTCAACACGGGGAGCATCGCGGTAGTCACTGCAAATAATGCGGCTCTGGTCCTCCTCGACTCCAGCCTTGCGAAGACCATTGTTACCCCATGCGGTTTGGTTGCGGCCAAGAGTGATACCGGTAACGTGAGCGCCGTAGTGGGCCGAGGCGTACTTAGCGAGAGTTCCCCAGCCGCAGCCAAGATCGAGCACCTTGTCACCGGGCTTAACACCAATCTTCTCGCAAACAATGGCCAGCTTGTTGTCCTGGAGCTCCTCGAGGGTCTCCTCCTTGTTGATATCACTGATAACACCGGAGGTGTAGATCATGCGTGGGCCAAGGAACCAGGCGTAGAAGTCGTCACCTCGGTCGTAGTGGTCACGGACCTGCTCCTCGTCTAGAAATAAGGTTAGAAATGCCACTGGCGCTGTACGAAGACTTGCTTACCCTGAGAACGAGTGTGCATCAGCATCTCGGGGATGAAACCAAACAGGAAGTGCTTGAAGAGACCAGTGGTGAACTTGAAGTTGGCCCAATCGTGACGGTACTCGAGGCACTCCAGAGCATCACCCTTGAAGTCAACCTCGCCATTGAAGTACTTCTCGTAGAAGACCTCCATGGGGATCTTGCTCTTGCCGCGGTAGGTAGCACGATCGTGCTCGCTGTGGAACTGCAGGTAGTGCTCGACGGGGCGGCCACAGTACTTGGCCTTCTCGGTCTTGCGAGGAGAAACAGAGGAAGAGACAGCCCAGAAGGCCACCAGGACGGGAACGGAGGTGAAGAGAGCAAAGAAGATGGTGGTGTAGAAACCTCCACCAACCTGGCGAGCCAGCCACCAGGGCACAATGACCTCCAGAGCGATCATCAAGCCATTGGAGAAGCTGTCGCTGCCGGGTGAGTCGGCGGGGACGGGAGCATTCTTAATGGTCGGGTACTGGATAATAAAGAAACAAATTAGGTCCTGGACTCATCAAACATCCCTCACGGATAGCTCTAGATGTGGACTTACCAGGGTGGTCGGAACACCGCAGTCAAAGGCAGGCTTGGTCTGCTCGGGGGCAGCCGGAGTCTGGATGTATTCGAACTCCTCGGTGGAGTCCGGATGAATGGTCGTCATGGCGGCGAAGCGTCAATTGAGAGGAATGAGAAAGGAAAAGGAGAGGCCAGAGAGTAAATAAGAAGATATGGGCAATTCCGGGGGCGGTGTGGGCTAGACCAAGGTACCTTGAAAAGTACGTGATTGGTACTTGCCATTCCATGGACGGGCTAGCTGAGGACCTGGTACCCGTCAGGTACACCGAGTTTACTCTATTTCTCCTGACCTCACTGACGTACGATGTAAACTATTATTATTGCAGGGATTCATGTAGCTAGAGGCTAGTGGGATTTGTCTCATCCATTTATTGATTTTATACAATATAAACAGCCCTATGTTATGCATCACTCAATCATTGCCTTTTGAATGACCGAGGTTTCACACTTCCCAAGAACTGGGTACTGCCTACGGTGTACGTGGTCCCTACGTGGTCCCTAACGGAAATAAAATGCAAGTGTGGCCTCGCCTGTCTGTGGCTTGGCGAAAGATCATCATAGGAGTGGAGAACGCCTGAAACAGTATGATCCACGGTTGGCATGGGAAGAGCTGCAACCTATGTATCCAGTTACAAGTAACTAGTACTCCGTACATTAACGACATAGTTAACTAACGCTAACTGTTCCATAACGCCAGGTTCCTTCGGCTTCGAGCCCCTGTGAGCCAATGCCAATCTCCATATGCCGAATCAATAACCATACTGAAGTAAAATGGTAATCCCCTTTCGAGGCTGAGTATCTTTCGCAATGCACCCCCTACAGAGTGAGCTGGAAGCTCTGGGCCTCATCATCTTCGTCAAATGTGGGTAGTGGCTCTTCCGGTTCCTGGGTGACCTCATCCGGGGTATCAAAACATCCAGCAGCCTTGCAACGAGTCCACATTTCCGAGTCCAGCGGAGGGGGTCCATACAGCTGCATATAAGTTTCGGGAGACAGAACCTGAGAGCTCAAGGACTTCTGCGTTTGGGAATGCTTCTCTCGCAGGGTGGATGATACACTGCGTCCCTTCGAATAGCCAACGGTCGTCCTAGAGTTGACAGAAGCAGCAGTATTGCGCATGGAAGACGGGTTAGACGGGACCCTAGCCTGTCTCTTGGGCATCACCAGCGACGATGCCAACGACGCCACCCGTGGTTTGGGAGTTGGAGCCACTCGAGGTGCGGTAGTTGGCTGGGATCCGCTGAGCGCAGCGGCAGCCTCTCGAGCTCGAAGCGTTGACACACTGCGAGTGTGTCGTGTGGTAGTTGCAGGTCCTTTTGAAAGGAAGGCAGTTGGCCGCAGTGCATTTGCGGACTCGCTTTCACCCGAGCTCTCGAAACCAATATCCTCAAGTTGTTTCATAATCATATCATCCACCATCCTATCGCATGCTGCCGAATCCTCCTTGAACTTGCGCTGTTTCGCCGTGAGTCCATCCCTGCCAACTTGTTGCTTCCCGTAAACGCTCTCCAAGCCCAAAGCTCGATTCTTCGGTCGGAATTGGGGGAATGTGGTGTCGTATGTCACATCGTCTGGAAGGTCCGGAAGATCTGTAGCTCGTCAGAAATAAGCTTTTTGGGTTGCAGCTTTAGTTGTTCTTAGCGTACCTCTAGGCTTTGGCGGCATGTATTCAATATCCGGTACATCATCCGCAGCCGCGTCAATATGAACTTTGGTTTGAGTTTGCTGTGGAACTGGAGCAGCTTTTCTGATCTTCTGGGCAGTCGACTGTCTGCGATTTGTCTTCGGTTGCTTGGTGGTTCCTCCAAAGGGCGCAGGCGTCTGGAGGTTGTTGGCTTTGAGGTTGGTCGTTTTCATGCCCAGGGGAGCGCGATCCTTCACTACAAATCGAAAAAAAAAACGAGTCAGTCATTATCCAACAGTCATCTCCAAATCTCTAATTTTCGCGAAGCAACGCGTACCCATCGGAGTCATGAACGCGTTATTTCCTGGTTTTCCATTGTCCTGACGATTCCCATTGCCCTTCACGGTGCGATTTCCGAACGCCAACGGGTTATTCTCGTCATTTCGTGGCTTGCCGGGTGTCTTGGGTGCTAGCTGCTTGCTTTGGTTCAAGGGCTTAGCTGCCGCGGCGGTCTGGTGGGTGTTTACCAGGTTTTCCTGGTCGCGAAGAGCCAACATAGTGGCGAATTGAAGATGATGATTCTCATGCACCGTATCAAAGAAATCAAAAGTTGCGTTATCGGGTTGAGAGTGATAAAGAGCCAGAACGAGTTCTAGATGCAAGTGTTGTCGAGTGGTTGCCCGTGGAGACGCGGCGATCCCTGGGCGGTGATTGGCATATGGCAGGAGCGGATTGTGTACCTAACCATACCACGGTTACGCAGCTGGTACACAGTAAGTATACAGTACTTCCCCTGTAGTGGAGCTAGTACCTGTGGGCCTGGTACTGTCTACTTGTTCACTAGTCAGCCATTATTCCTCCCCTTCTCTCCCAAAACTCTCCCCATATCATCTTCCACATCCCCATCCAACACTCGCCCGGTTTCTCGCTGAGCGAAAGCCTTACAATACTCTTTCTTTCAACCATACATATTATCTCCCTTACTCCCTTTTCAATACCTTTAAAATGGACAAGATCAAGGAGGTAAGTCACCCAAGACCCCTGCCTGGCGGGGTAGCTTGACTGCTTCCCAAAATCACACAGCCCCTCGTGATATGCATATATGCATACCGCCCCAGCATTCTATCACTTCCCCACTGGGAATTTTGCTAACATGTTTGGTATTAATTTTAGCGCATGGTCGCCCTCCGCGCCGAGGCTGATGAGGCTCACGAGCTCGTTGATGAGCTCAAGGCCAAGGTCAAGACGCTGGAACAGGAGAATCTGTCCAAGGAACAAGAGATCACATCGCTCAACCACCGTAACCAGCTTCTAGAGGAAGAGGTTGAGAAGGCAGAGACCGCCCTCAAGGAGGCTAAGGACGCTGCCAGCCAGAGCCTCCAGCACGACACTCAGAACGAGGCCCTTCAGCGACGGGTGCAGCTCCTCGAGGAGGAGGCTGAGGAGAATGACAAGACTCTGCGGGAAACAAATGAGAAGTACGACCACCTACCATTTCTTTCACCATTAAGTACTAACATTTTGGGCACTCAGGCTCCGCCAAACCGACATCAAGGCTGGGCACTACGAGAGGAAGGTTCAGGCACTTGAGGACCAACACGCCAAGCTGGAGCAAAGATATGAGGATGCGATCAAGGAACACAGCACCGTGAAGAAGGAGCTTGACGACCTTGCATCCCAGATGGCCGACATCTAAGCTGGTCCAAACTGGTGATGGGTGCAGGATATCGGGAAACATTTGGTTGGATACAAGCTTCATTCTCTGGGTTGTCGTATGCTTTTTCATGCTGTAACTGTTTGTGTTACGGTGGTCATGGGCCACATACAGCGCTTTTGATAGCAATAACTTTTTATCATGCAATGTGTGCACAACGATGTCTACGATTTCCTGCATATTCATTGCATTTTCCATAATTTCAGACGCCTGTGATCCGTAAAATTGACTAACGAATAATTGCTTGAAGCCAAGTATATGCACATGTGATGTCGTATCTGTTCCAAGACGTGGTATCTTCATTCCTCTGCACCCTTTCGTGCCTTTGCCCTCTTCGCTTTCACGGACCGTTGCTTTAACATTGTTTGTTTGCGCTCAACCTTGGTCTCGTAGCGGAAGTTCCTCTTCTTTTTCCTGGCTGCTTCTGAGGCTGCACTCCTGGGCTTTCTCTTCTTGGCTTTTGTATCAGCCTCCGTCTCGGTCGGATATTTTTTCTCTTCTTCATTCTCTGATTCCTCCCCCTTGGCAACCTTGAGCAGACCTTCACGGGATGCATCCATTTCTTCAACAGTGACTGTTGTGTATTTGTCCTCGTCGACATATTCGGCTTCGTAGTCCACTGCTGGAGGCTCTTCGATTCCCTCCCAATTTTCCTCCTCGCTCTCGCCTTCCATTTCGCCGAGATCTCCAGCATCCTCCTTCATGCGCTTGAGTACCGCTTTGTGCTCCGCCATTGCCTGTTCGAAGTCTTTTTTGCGATCCTCTCGAATCTAGAAGAATTAGTGGATGTCTTTGCGCACAAATTGAAGCCTGCCGCACCTTTTTTCTTGCGTCTCTCTTCTCCTCTTTGTATCTCTTGACAGCATTGTCTTGTGCATGCTTAGCGCGTTGCACCTTGCGTTTGTGAAACCCAGTCAGCCATTCCTGGCGGGACTCGCTGTCGAAATTGACCTCTTCAACTTTAGGCCCGGCAACAATTTTGCGCTTTTTGAAATCTTTGGGACCCATGATGAATGAAAATACCAAGCTCAAGTATATTTGGATCGAATAACAAGTAGACCTCTGTATATCATAGGTTGTGTTGAAACTGAGGCGAAAGCCAAGAAAAAAAAGTTGATATTGAAAGCTCAGGCGGGTCGGGGCTCTCGACCGCCTCCGAGAGCCAAGTCGGACACCTCCCGTTAGCAACATCATCGCCAACCCGACCCCATCCCCACGATAAACACAATGCATTTCAGCAGGTTCGGGCTATTGGCCCTTGGGGCTGCTACCGTAAATGCTTTCAGAGATACTTCGCCGTTCTTTCTCGCCTCAACTTCTGAGTATGCTTCATTGAACCTCTCCCGCTGCGGTTAACTAATCGCTCCTCCCTTAGGGTCCTGACGAACTCCGCCTACATCCAGACAGGAGCTTCGGTCCTCGAGAATATTTCCTCATCACTTAGCACCTGTCCCTCAGATTATTATGTTGTCGTCTACCAGCCTGGTGTGCACAGTTCCGACTTCTCGACGCGGAAGTCGGCACCCCGCTTGGGTGCGAAGATGCTTGGAAAGGACAGCTCGATCCTGTCCAAGATGAGCGTCAACGAGGTCGTTGGCTTAGTGGAACCCAAGGAAATCAAAAATATTTTGGAGAAGAAGTGCAAAGCCAAGACTACCGCTGTGGACGCTTCCTGTAAGTTGGTTTGGTGGCCAACGACAGCCCTGGCAAACCCGCGAAGAACTTCAAAGCTAACAATGTGAAGCCGGATCATACCCCTCTTACTTTGAGCAGGGTCCCCGAATTATTGATGTCCAATTCCCCATGCTATCACTGGACTCGGATCGCGCACAGCAACTTTCTGGATTCGGTATGTATGCCGCGTACCTATGCACTTCATTGTTACTGACTCTGCTAGATGGTTTCCTTGCCGATATCATTGACCGACTTCCTTCCTCATCCACGTATACTATTCTCTACATCACCTCCCCTAGGGAGTTCCCCGAGACGGATTCTGTTGTCTACGAATCCTCTGGAGATTCGTACCAAGACTCGCTCCACATGGAGCTAAAGCGGGATTACTCCGCGCATGGCGGTGCCTCGAGCTCATCAAGCAATTCCACCTCTCTCTTTGAGGAGTATCAATACTTTACTCCAGGTATGTGTCTAGCAATCCCGCCTCTCTATTCGCTATACTAACCATTTTCCAGGTATTTTCATGGGACTCATGGCTACCTTCCTGTTCCTTGCAATCTTGTATATTGGTATCAATGCCCTGGGTAGCCTCGAGATTCCCTATGCCGCATTTGAGAAGGACTCCTCGGTTGCTGTGCACAACAAAGCGCAGTGATTTGCAGCGCTTTGTTGGATTTTTGGAATATACCTCCATCGTTGCAATTGATTATCTTTTTCTGTTGGGTGTTCAGGGACAACTATCTCGTATCCCCATGTATGATATCTCATAATATCCCAGTTTTCGAATGTTAGATTTGCCAACGTAAATGTTCAAAGTCCTTGTATCCTTTTTTTGGAAGCTGTCAGGTGACGGTCTCAGTTTTGCCTAAGGCACCCCTCTTCTTTAGCGTTGGCGTCTTTTGGTTTCTTCTGATTCTCGGTTAAGGAGGCCCTATCTTATGGTCATCTTCAGACACTCGTTGGCCTCATTTGAAAAGCAGTCATTCGTTTATAAGCAATTTTGAAGCCCTCACCTCATCTCATATGGAAACTCGTTGATTGTGGATCCTTGACCTGCAGCCTGAGTTCAGCATCCGCCAATCTTTGACAAGAGACAAGTTGCAGTTATCTTTGAAATCAGCAGAGATCTTACCCCTGACACTCAGATTTCATTGATGAGCTGACCAGGGTTGATAATCTTCTTTGTTCCTCGCTGGTTCCTCGCTGTCGCTGGGATCGGCGCCTACTCCAAGTGACCCGCACACTGTGGAGAAGCAGCTGATCGACTGTTTACGCCGCCATGCGAGTTCTACCGCAAGGGCTTGGGAAAGCCAAGCCTTCATTCCTCCTGTTACTGTTTCTGGTCATTGCCATCGCTGCTCAAGTGTCTGCTGTACCGGCGGACGATGCAACAACGGATACCGATGCCGCTAAGACCACCGACGATCCCTCCACTACTCAAAGCACCTCTAGCGTGAGCGAGACCACCACATCTTCCACTTCCACATCGACGTCAAGTTCTACTACCAGCACCACTACCTCCTCTTCCTCCTCCTCCTCCTCTTCTACAACCACAACCATGGATACAACCACCACTTCCTCCTCTTCCTCCTCCACGACGTCCGACAGCAGTACAACAACATCATCCGTCTCCACGACAACGGAATCATCAACATCTTCCTCCTCGTCCTCCTCTTCCTCCTCCTCCTCAACCACAACTACCGGCGCTATTGTGACGATACCACCGACAGCCAATGCCCCATATATGCAAGAGAGCAATGCTCCAGAAGGCACAGTGTTCATCGCCGTCGGCGCCGCGCTAGGGCTGATCGGCCTAACTCTACTCGCATGGCGCGCAATGGTCGCATGGTCCGTAAACCGCTCAGTGCGACGCGCCGCCGTAATACACGCATCGGAATCGAAGCGCCTCCTACGCGGCAGCAGAAAGAAGCGATCAATCCCCTATTCCGCCGCCCCGGCAGTCGACGTATCTCTCCATAAACTCGGCGCCTCCACTCGCACAAGCTACAAGCCTAACCGGGTCCCAAGCGCGAGCAGCGGTCTTTTCTTTTCTCCTACCGCAGGCGGTCCTACTGGATCGCATCCTAATGTCAACGCTACGGGAAATACAGGAAATACAGGAAATCGTGGGTCGACATACTTGCCTGCTGGTTACTACGCTGCTGCCGGTAGCTCCAACCCCGCTCCGGGTGGAGAGCCCCCATACTCGCCCACTGCTGGCCTCTCGTCGCCTTCCCTGCCTCCTGTAGGTGTTCATGATTCGCATAATCAGCGCCACTCTTATGTGGGTGCGTCGACAAGTTCTTTGAACCTAAACCAAGCGCCGCAGGGTCGTGCTCCTAGCGCATACCTTGAGGATTTGTTTGAGAGCCATGCTCCTCACAGCTCTGATTCGGGCCGTCGGTAACGCCTTTGATTTTGGGCTCTTGGATGGTCATAATATGAAGGAATGATATTACTGCTTTTTTTTTCTTTTTTGAATCTATGTTGGGATTTGCTCTCCTTTTCCTCTGCCTTCTGCTCTACATCTATTCTCTTGTCCATTTTCATTCCGGGTCTGTTTCAACTCGGCGTTCAATAAACCCTTTCACATGAGGCGATCTTCTCCATTTTTCTCTGCGCTTTATTGACTATTACTCCCTTGTCAATACAAATTAGTTTACTCACAAAGTAATCATGGATAACCACAACCCTACTAGTGTTGTTGCCCTTCTCTTGGGGTCAATACATATTGCATTACATGCAGGAAACGATTGATCAAAACCTGTGTTGCATTGAGATAGAAATGTAAATCATCAAATATCGTTAAGCCCAACCGCAAAGGGGAAAAATGGAAAGCAAAAGCAAAAACGCAAAAGAAGTCACCAAGCAGATTCATATCGACAAGACACACCCTCTAAAACCAAGAAAGAATATGTGCTTGAACCGTGGGACGGGGTATTGGGTATCTACGATTCAAAAGAAAGCGAACTAGTCAACGCGCTTGTATAGCTTGGCCTTGGAGCCGGCAGATGAAGCTCCGGCACAACAAGCAGCAGGCTGCTCCTCAGGGTGGAGTGAAGATTTGTTGAACGACTGGGAGGATTGCGGAACGTCAAGGGCCGGGTTCTTGTTGAAGAAACCATCTGGCTTCAACATGACGCTGATACGCTCCATCGGCATGACGGGGAAGTCTTCAATACGAGGGTTGTGGGTAAGACCGAAGGCTGCGGGGGTATGTTAGTTATACAGTACAGATAAAATCGCGGGGAGGAATCCTTACTGTGCCAAAGGACGACGTCTTCGTTCTCTGTGTTCTCCTTGCGCTGCACCCAAGTCTCGACGCCCTCGGCGCGGCGGCTTTGGTTGGTGAACTCGCCTGCGGCGTACAGTTCATCGTCCTGGTACTTGGTGACCCAGATCGGCTTGGTAGCAAACTCAGCACGGCGGAAGCCGTGGGCATTCTTACTGACCAGCATCATTTGGCTGGGAGCAGCCATAAGCTTGTATGCAACAGGCTTGTAAGTTATTGGGTTGGTAATGTTGTCGTTGCGGATCTTAAAGACGCGGTTACGATCCACGCTAGTGTTCGCTGTGCCTGCCGTGCGTATCACAGTAGACTCGGAGGTATAGCCCACAAGATAGGGGTTCTTCTCGTCTTCTGGCATAGGAACGCTGTCCTCGTAGTATATAGTGTTCTTAAATCCATCAATGGCAGGGTCAATCCGTAGGGAGAACATATGCTGGTGGAAGGGAGCCATAACACCAGGACCGACGTTGGTACCCCAAGGGACGGTTTGGCCGTTCTCGTTATCGAATGGGACGGTGGAAAGAATGCCGGTAGCCCGGACTTCCAGTTCGACATTGGCAGCTTGATCAAAGATGTAGTTGAAGATGTACTCATAGTTGGCTACAGTGCAGATCATCTGCAGAACCAACTGGCGGTTGCGCACAACGGTAGCAGCACCGGACCGATAGTTAGTGTGCTTGTGCTGCAACCCGTTATCTTGTTCGTGCATGCAAATCACGTTCTTCAGCTGCAGTGGGTTGCCTTTGGAGTCGTTGCGGTAGCCATCAAAATATTTGATATGGCCGAGACAGTCACATCCAAGAGCCAACTGATTGGCATTCATACCAAAACCAGTATCGCCAACATCAAACGCCTGCTTGCGGTGGTATGGGGCTCGGGGATCTATATTCATGTTAGTTAGATCCGCTTGGAGTTGGGTGCGATATGGGCTCCAATCCCACTTACCTCCATAGGGAACAGTCATCTCAGAAACAGCCAAACGATAGAAAAGGTTTCTGTTGTCATATGTGACGTTATAGATAATCAGGCCTTCGCGGGCATTAAACCCGACCCTGAAGCGCCACTTCTGCCAGTAGACGGAGTTGCCATCCACCGAAAAAGAAGGACCCTCAGGCTGTTGCACAATGTAGGGCTTGAGATCGGTGCGAAGGGGCTCATCCAAGAGGTCGTGGGCATACTGGACTGTCTTGACAGGCTTCCAAGGCTGGGTAGTGGAAGTCTCGAAATCAGCACCACCGGGCAGGTAGTCCATGCGGATCAACTCATGAGTGAAACCGTCGAACACCGGAGAGAATTTGCAAGGTAGAGAGTAGTGATTGTTCTGGGGGTGATCCACTTCGACCATGTACATGAAGCATTGGAAGAGCCGTCGGTCCTCGTTGTCACTGTCTGTGCCATACATCCAAGGGTCGTTGCAGACAGTGATGCCTGCGGGTAGTTGCAATTTCTCGATCTCGGCCAGTACAGCCGGATGCTTCATGCACATCTCTTCGATTCCTGCAATTTCATCGATATCAATGGGACCCTATAAAATAGAAAAATTTATTAACCCATTGCTTGCTTTTAGAGAGAGGGTTCTGCTTACCTGAACCTCTTTGGGAAGCTCCTTGGCATAGACAATGGTGCGCTTGTCGGCATTGAGGATAGCCTTGTAGAATGCGCCAGTGTCCAGACGGTGAAACAGCACATAGAGGAGACGGGCCGGAGGTGGAGGCAGTGGGCGCCGTAAACGCTCTGCTTCAATGTATGCGACAACATCCTTCTTGATGGGTTCATTGACATCAATGCGTTTGTAGCGCAGAGAGACGCCTGGGAAGGTCGCCTCAAGGATGCGTACGGCGAGCTTGATCTCCTCCGGTGTGATTGGGTCAAATGGGTGCGGGCCGTAGTTGATCACCATTTTGGCGATGTTGGCGTACACTTCTGGGGTAAAGATATGAGGTGGTTGTGAGAGGTATTAGAGGAAATAACACGAATCCACGGAGAAGTGAGAAGTGAGAAGAGACAAGTCAAAAAGGCAGGTAAATTATTGAAAGAGAGAATTAGAGCCCAATGCCTACACTTAAATATGTCATCGCAATCGGGGTCTTGGGGATCTTATCGGGTTACATAAGGTCTGGCTGGACTTGCCTAATTGGGAAAGAAACCAGTGTAGTTGGAGAAGCGGAGTCTTGGCTCTGAGAGATTAGGACAACATGGATTGAACTGGATGGATTGAACATGGATATACGAGGCAAAACATATAGAAACATACAGTGGAAAGACTCCCTCAATTTAGTCAAAATAGTTCTACTAGATTTATCTCAACTATCTCAACTAATATTCCCTGTTCAACTAAGGAGATAGAATGAGAGGAGATCATTTAAAGTGTAAAGTCACATGACCCTTAACCCACATTTGGATTTTCACGTGAGTGTGGGGTCGGCGTGAAATTATCCCAATGTGGTTTAGTGCAATTTGCTATCGATATCTCTCCGACGAAATCGAGCGGGTTATCACCTGCAGCAGCAGCGCATGCTTGTCTGAATTTGGCCAATATTTGCGGTAAGCATGCCGTCACTAGTACCTGTTAGAGAATCTCCATATCACCCAGGCGCTCCTTGACACTATGAATGCCTTTCCTCTGAATGGCTCGACGCAGTCGTCTTCCTTCACACCTGGCCAGCCCACTTCTGCCCCGAAGAAGAGTAGGGCACGGCAATCTGGCACAGCATGGACTCGCTCAGGATGCATAACCTGCAAAAAAAGGCGCAAGACCTGTGATAAGACCAAACCAAGGTGTGTGCTGAAACTTAACTTTAAGTTTCCTATCTAATTCGATTAGTTGCAACAATTGTCTCAAGCAAGGCCGGACATGCGAAGGCTATGGCTCTATGTGGGTTGAGCCACTAAGTCCATCGGCGCAGGTATTTTCGCAGACGGAGACTTCCAAGCGCCGACGACTCAGTGCGTCTTCACCGTCTCAATTCCCTTCGCCTGCGCCGTCCCCGCGTTCGGATGCGTGGCTCGAGACTCGTCTGTCTCCTGGGCCGGGGACATCCCTGAGCTGGTCTATTCCATCTTCTCCTCGGGAATATGTACCATTTGAGGCAGCTATTAGTCCTGTCCAGGATGTAGAAGAATACAGTCCTGGTCCAGATATTGATTTGGATAGCTCTGTCGCGGTGATCCCACAGCTTCAGGGATATATAAGTCATCTCTCAACACATGAGACTCACTACCTCCAATATCACATGGAGCAGGGATCTCGACTGTTAGCGAATCTAGAGAGCCATGATAATCCCCTTCGGTCGATGTTAATTCCCAGGGCAATGTCATCACCTCTGCTGATGAAGGCCGTATGTGCCGTCTCTGCTCTTCATCTAGCAAATCGCTCCCACGGCTTTGTGGCACATACGGCTGCAGTCAAATACTATAGTGGAACGCTCAAGGGACTCCGCGCAGCACTAGATAAGTGTTCAGCGGAGGTGTTCCCTGATGATGCCATGCTAGCAGTCGGTCTACTATGCAAGTACGAGATCGTGCGGGGAAGCGTTAAACAGTGGGTTGTTCACCTCAATGCATTGCAAAGTCTGATCGTTTCACGCGGTGGATTTGCTTCAATGGATCGAGAAGCAGCCGAGTTCCTGCGTGGACTGTATGTGTGACAACCTACAACCTACATTTTCGAACACTAACATAATATATCAACATCTAGATTTGTATATGCCTATCATATGGCCCGGATCAGCAACCACAACTGTATCGCTGCTACAGATATTTCTGTCGACAGTGATATTGGTATCCCAAAATTGGACATATATATTGGATACACAGAGGAACTCCTTAAATTATGTGCACGCATTGCAGAGCTGCCTTCTCTCCAAGCTGATACGTTGGCTCTTCGACTCAGTGTTGCATCCATGTTTGTCTCTCTCTGTGATCATAAAAGATGACAAAAGATACTCCATTCGACCAGAACTAACATCCCATCTTAGAAACGAATCCCTCCTCACTTGGTCTCACACTACAACCCCCTTCATAATTGCCCAAGGAACATCGCCAGCGACCCTCACTCGACTTCAACTCGTAGCTGAATGTTTCCGCGACGCGGGATTTATCTATCTCCACTCAATCATGGAGCGCATTAGCAGAACCCCAGATACCTCTCCCGCCGCCAGCCCTGGTACCATTGTCAACGCCCAGCTAGGGGAGAACCCATCTCTCTCAGCACAAGACTGGGTTCCTCTCATCTCCATACCGAAAAATGTCGCCGTCTACCGCTGTCTTGGCCGCATTGAAACTTTGCCGCTAGGTGATCACTGCGAGTACTCGGCGCTCACGTTCCCTCTCTTTATATCCGGATGTGAGAGTGATGATGTAGCGGACAGAGAGGTTGTGCTTCGTTCCTTGGGAAAGCTACAGGATAACTTTGGGATTGGGAATGTTCGGCGTGCAAAGGAGTTATTGGGGATCTTGTGGGCGAGACAGGATGCTAAGTTTGATGCTCGGTTTAGTGGGATGAGTCGGCAGAGAAATGTGCATTGGTTAGATATTGTCGAGGAGCTGGGATGGGAATTGATTCTTGCCTAGTGGAATGATATGAATATATGTGTACCTTTTGTATTGAACTGCAGTACAAAAGATACCTGGCAATTCGGTTATATCCGGCCCCACGTAACGTGGATACTAGACCCTGGCGGATAGCCCCGACTACAACCAACTCCATAAAGGGCAAATACACTTGTGTACATTTCCTTTTTCTCTGTTCTTTTTAGGCTATATCGAAATCTTAAAACAAAAGAGGCTGAACTGTCAGGAAGTTCTATATTGCTGTTGACTCAAGACTCATTCGAGATAGATGAATATCCTCGCTTAGAAAAGTCCCTTAAAAAGTCCCCACTATGATCCAGCAAATCGCCATAGATAGGTATTGTGACAGGTTGGAGGGTGATGGCGTGCTAGGATATCGATATTAACGGCCAACTCCACAGCCTACTTAAGCAGCTGATCTCTCCAGGCTCTTCTACGAATTTACACTTGGAGGATATCTCACTACTCCCGTCAAGATGATAGCTCCAACATCTTCACCAGAAGAGAGCGTTCGGGCCAAATTTGACGAAAAGACCCCCAGGTTCAGTCTACGACAGGTGATGGAGCACTGCAATTACTGGAAGCCGGTCTGCCGAGCGTTCTGGATCCCGCCGCATCTAAAAGACTGTTGCGGAAGATCGATCTGTATATTATGCCACTGATTTGCATCGTATACTTCCTACAGTATCTGGACAAAATCGCCATCAGTTATGCCAGTGTCACCGGAATGCGCGAGTCAGCGAACCTCCAGGGCAACCAATTCAACTGGGTGTCGAGTATCTTCTTTTTCGGCCAGTTGGCGTTCGCATTTCCCACTATGCGTGTCATGCAAGCATTCCCCCTGGCCAAATACGTCGCCGTCAACGTGACAATCTGGGGCACCATCCTGGCCTGCATGTCCGCATGCAAGTCATTTGCCTCCCTGATGGTCTGCCGCACACTTCTGGGCGCCGCAGAAGCCTCTATCGTGCCCGCCTGGGTCGTCTTCACCTCGCAGTGGTACCGGAAGGACGAACAGGCGTTCCGCGTCGGCGTGTGGTTCGGCATGTGTGGATTCGCGCAGATGTTCGGCGGCTACGTGGCATATGGTGTCGCAACTCACGTCGGTGGGGACCCAAGCGCCGCCCTGCGAGGTTGGCAGGTTATTTTCCTGATCCTGGGTCTGCTGACCGTGGTGACCGGTGTCCTCTTCTTCTTCCTCCTGCCTGATTCCCCTCTAACGGCAAGGTTTTTGTCCCCGGAAGAAAAGGCAATGCACGCGGAGCGTCTTCGGGGTAACGGACAAGGCATCGGAAGCAATGTCTTCAAAAAGGCACAGGTCTACGAAGCTCTTACCGACCCGCACACCTGGCTCTACGCCTTCTGGGTCCTGGCGGCAAATGTACCAAACTCCATTGCCACGAGTTTTGGAAACATCATGGTAACGGGCATGGGCTTCTCGAAAATGGAGAGTCTTCTGCTTGTGACACCCATGGGTGCTTATGAGGTGGTTGCACTGGTTGGCCTGACCTATCTGGCAATGAAGACCCGGCGACGACTCCTCTGGTGCATCGTCGGCCATATCCTGGCGATCGTGGGTGCGATTTTGATGGCGACAACGGATAAGGTGCCAGCCCTTATTGGATACTATCTCACTGGAGGCATTCCAATCGGATGGACGACAATTCTTGGACTCACCAGTACCAATGTGGCTGGCTCAACCAAGAAGATCACCGTGTCCTGCATCCAGACGATCGCCTACACTGTCGGCAACATCATCTCGCCACAGACCTTCCAAGCCAAAGACGCTCCGGGGTATTTGCCCGCCAAGATCTCTATCTGCATCCTGTATGTCATCATCACGCTCGATCTGTGCCTTATCTGGTGGATCTCGCAGCGGGAGAATCGCCGACGAGATCAGGAGAAGCAGGCATTGGGTGATGCGTATGTCGTTCCAGAGAACCATGAATTTTTGGACCTTACAGACCGAGAGAATCCGGAATTCCGCTACGCGATATGAAGATGGTTTTTGTGCCCTTGGGTTGCGAATTACACCAGGCCCAGGACAGATTGGGTTTTAATAATTAATATTAGACAAAAAGTGCACATACTTCACATTAATTATACAAGAATAACAAGGGCTTGTTCGAAGATTTATTATAGAATGATTACCACCAAGTAGCCTTCGCCCCGGAGCGTTATATCTGCTTTATCTAGTACGGAGTAATATAAGCATGTTAGTTTTCATGAGACTAGTGCCATATAAATATCCCTGTAGCTACAAGCCCTGCTTGCGTGCTTGATATATTTCCGACTGCCTGGAGCCTCATTTTGTAGTTATGAAATGTAGGTGCCTCAATTCTCTTTTTCTTTGCTGATTGGTTTTGAGTCTCAGCATTTGGAGTGGCCTCCAACACGACCAAAAGACATATTGGGAGTGCAGATTGTACATAAGGATTAGCCAGCAGAGATGAAAGACTGAGTGCATTGAAGAAGGGTTGTAAGACATGACGGCCTATTAGTTCACTAAACCGCTTGAAAAGGTAATTCACATGTCCGGTTACACTACAAACAATAAGGATATATGAGGCCATGTCTTAGGGTAGCAAGTCGTGGAGTTCGAGAAGGGATGGTTGCATACATGAAGAATATAAAACGCACGATCAACTCAGTCCCATATTTACCTCATCGCTGAGTCCCCATTCCCTTTCCGCCCTTTCCGTCCCACCCGCAGCTCGAGTTGACCACCGGTCAAGATGATCATGGGAGTTCGCTATCTCCTTCTCGCGCAAACTAGCGCTGTCACTAGTGGTCACACTTCCCTCCCGGGCATGAGATGATTTGCGGGAATTTTTGATGCTGATGGGTCGAGAGGGGTCTGCTCTATCGGCTACGATAGATGCGTTTGAGCCCGTGGCACGCCCACTGTCAGCGGGCGGTCCACCAGGGAGGGTCTGCTCTTTTTCCTTGGCACCGCTAAACCAGCGCCGCCGATTGGATTTAGAGGAGGTAGATGCTGCGATGCTTTGTGCATCGGCGTTATCGTCGTTCTCTTGTGATTTTTGCTTTTCCAGGGCCTGCGTGAGCCCGGAAATGGTTTCTTCGGAGGCGTTCTGGGTGGCTTGAGGTGAAACGTCCGCTAATTCGGCGTCACGATACCACTTGCGTCGACGGGTATAGCGATCCCATCCATCTTGACCGCGGCGACCATCATTCCACTGGAGTTCTGTTAGAAAATAATACAAAAAAGCCGATAGAGAGAAAGCACTAACCTTGTTATCATAGTAGATCCATCCTTCGCCGGTTGTCCCCTTCGAGTCTGATTTTCCATTGAAGTTGTCCGCTCCTTCGATGCGCCATTCACTTCCTTCCACCCAGCGCCATTTGGCATCTCCTGTTTGGACATCTGGTAACTCGAAAGAATCTTTAGGATTAACTGCATTCATATGCTCGTCTGTCCAGGCATCACGTTCTGCCGGGAACAACGAGTAAGTCCACCCGATACCCAGCCAACGGCGCTGATTTTCATAGACAACAAACGTGAATCGAACACCTGCGTTGTTTCCGCGCCGCCGAGTTGAAATATTTAAGCCTTGCTTTTCGCCCCGGGCTTGGGCCGGGGCCTTCTGTGGACTGCTCGGGGTGTCGGCCACAGAGAGACCGGTAGCTGCCGCGCATAACCGACGCACGGCTCGAGACCGCCACAAAATAACACGCGAGACCCTGGCGGGTCGGGAATGATAAGTCAGAATTATAGTGCCAACAGCCATGACCACGCGGCGTGTGGTGAGTATGTAGAATGGAGGTAGAGTGAGACCGATCCAAACAGGAGTTACTAAGAGGATGCGGATGAACAGAGCCGTCAGCGCAGGTTTGGTAGTCGCTGACGTAGGAGTGCGCTGGGTGGATAGGAAGTCGGTGAGGTCGAGCAAAGGCTCGAGGAGGATATTGCATCTGGTTGTGAAGATGCGAAGGGTTTCAACAATTTCATCAAGACTCTTTTGATGACGCAGTGAGCTGTCTGGGGCAACTTTTGTCTTGTGCTTTTCGCCTGTTGATGTAGTTGATGATAGGGGCGAATAACGGCGTCCATACATGCCGAGGATCAATGCGACCACGACCAGGATCGGTCCTGCCCAAAGAATGACGGCATCGCTATATAGCACGATAGTCCAAAAGGTAGCTACCAGCAGAAAGCTCTGCCATGGGTCTCCAGAAGTCCATGTTAAGAGACCAGCAAATTTATTTAGAGGAAGTAGGAACGGGTGCGAGTAGGCCAGGGCTCGAGTGATAGCCGGTGGTGTGGCCACTAGGAGAGGTGATTTGCGATGCACGATGACACTGGAGCGCTGACGCGAAGTCAGAGCAGATCCGGTAATCGTTGAGGGGAGAAGGCAGCGACCGTCGGAGGTTGAGAATCCGACTGGCCATGGTCTTGTGTGTTCGATGAGGGTGCCATGGAGTCTATCCACGGAAGGTTGTCTGTGTTTTCGATCAGTGATCAAGATTCTAAAGAGAAGTATCATCAAATATCATACCTAAAGCTGCCATCCAATCATGGACAGGTCATAGAGGGACAATGAACTCATTCTCTGAGGTGAGGGAGGATTTTATATGATCGTTCGTGCATGTTCGGTTCAAAGAAGATCTGCGGGGAGATCGAAGTTGTGGGCATGTGACTCTCGGTATATAGTGTGTAGGGGTCATGATATTGGTGTTTTGACTGTTTTGATTCTTTTTTAGAGTAGATATCTATATAGTATGATATATAGTAAATAAAACTACTTCATAATTTATCTTGAATCTCCAACTAAAATGACTGTTTCTCTCTATGTTATATCCTCACTTCATACCCCCGTGCCTGGAGCTCTCCCGACACTAAAACCCGCAGCCGAAATTTTCCCTTTCTCTTCTTTCTTCCTTCAACCTATAACATCTGTGATCGCCTCCTCTACGGCACTTTCTCAATGGTATGTCTATTGATCTCCTTAATTCTTCCCATTCCCAAAATTAAAAACAACTAATAATCTACTAGGCTCATCGCATCGTCTCTCAAGTCGTCGTGACCGGAGCCCGGGTCTTCGGCCGCGCCTTCACCGAAGCCTACAAACAAGCCCAGGCATCCGGCAAATACGCTGGCCAACAAAAGGCAGCCGGCAAATCTACCAGCACCTCGAGCGTAACCATCGATGAAGCCTGCAAAATCCTGAACGTCAAGCCCCCGGCCTCCGGCGAACACGATCTCGAACATGTCATGACCCGATTCAAGAAACTGTTCGATACCAACAACCCCGAAAAGGGCGGCAGCTTCTACCTGCAAAGCAAGATTCTGCGTGCACGCGAGCGTTTGGAAATGGAGTTCCGCGAGGTTGAGCGCAAAGCCGCGCATGACAAGGAATTGAAGGAAGGCTGGAACCCCAAGGTCTACAAGGATCAATGAACATAACAATAACTGTGTGATTCTCCGGTTCCCCGTGCCCTCCGGGTTCCCTTCGAGCACATCTACGCTTTCCTGCGACAGAAGCCTCCGACTCCAACCGGCTTCTTTGTTTTCGATCTGCTCGTCTTTCTTGTTTTGGCATAGCATGGCGTTTGGGTTGTTGGAGAAAGACGCCTTGATTTTCTACATTGGGGTCTTTCTCTCTGATATTTTAAGATGGCCCCCGAATCCCCTTCTCGGGCATCGTCTCCGGTTGGAAGTGGAAGTGCTACGTTACCTCCACCTTCCACCTTCTCATCGACCTTTCGGTCTGTGTATATCATCAGTGATGCGCCGCGTTCCCTTGACCCCCTTCTCCACTCTCACTCGGAAAGGATTCATGTACAATAGCTATATACTTGCATTAACTTGTGTAATGTCCGATCTAGACTGATTTACTGCGTCTTCTTCGCATGTGTATCTCGTAGTGGGTTGGAATCTGCCAAACTTTTTCTCTGTTTTGCCACCGCCGCCTTACCAGGAACATCTTCACTTTGTCTCTGTACCTACTTCTACCAGGGGACCATTCGAACCACCCAACTAAAGCCTACAGAACAGAAGACGTAATACAAAGCCGATCGGATTGTGGCCACGATGTCCCGATCTGGGGGTTAATCTCCCCGCCATGGCGCCATCGGAGCAGAGCGGACGGGGTTTTTTCTCGGAGAAAATATAGGCAATGCACTTACCACTAGACAAAAATTTCACCAATCAACCAATCTACAAGAGGCAATCCATACACCCATAGCCAATTCCTCAGCATTGACAACATCGACCTCCCAACCCACACACCATGCGCCCCTCCACCCCACTGTCCGCGGCCCTGCCGCCTCTAATAATGGGCACCGCAACCTTCAACAATCAATATAACGCCGACCCCTACGCCCTCCCAACAACAGAACTTGTACAGCGCGCATTTTCACGCGGAATTCGCGCATTCGATACATCCCCCTACTACGGCCCTGCAGAAGAACTCCTCGGCCGCGCCCTCGCAACAGAAACCGTGCAAACCAACTACCCACGGGAGACATACCACCTCCTCACAAAAGTCGGGCGCGTAGCCGGCTCCTCATTCGACTACTCGCCGCCATGGATCAGACACAGCGTGCGACGCAGCCTACAACGTCTGCACACAGATTACCTGGATGTAGTGTACTGTCACGACGTGGAGTTCGTGACAGCGGCGGAAGTGGTCACGGCAGTGCGGGAGCTGCGGCGTCTCCGTGATGAAGAGGGCGTGCTACGCTACGTCGGTATCTCGGGGTATCCGGTTGATACGCTCAGCGAGCTGGCGGAGACGATTCTCCGTGAGACGGGCGAGCCGCTTGATATCGTTATGTCGTATGCCAACTTCACTTTGCAGAATACGCGGCTGCACTCGCTCGCCCTGCCTAGGCTGATTGATGCTGGTGTTGATGTTGTTCCTAATGCATCCCTGCTGGGTATGGGATTGCTTCGTCGTGACGGTGTGCCGATTGGCTCGATGGGCGATTTCCATCCCGCTCCCGATTCCCTGCGGAGTGCTATTCGTAGTGCTTCAGAGTGTGCTTCGAGCCATGGAGAGAAGCTCGAGGTCGTTGCGATTCGGTTTGCGCTGGAGGCGTGGCTGCGTTTTGGTGCACGAGTTGGCGGTCTTGGTGCGCCGCTTGCTCGTGCTGCGGACGCTGATCCTGGGTTCTTGTCTGTGGCTACTATGGGCACGGGGAGAAGGCTGGGTGTTAGCGTTATTGGCGTTAGTAATATCGCTGAGTTGGATGAGACTTTGCGCGTGTGGCACAGTATTGTTGATGGACTGGAAAATTGGAATGAGGATGATGACGCTTCATATTTCGATACCAACTTCAAATCACCTGGACTGTCGACTCCTAGCCTGGATGTTCCCACGGCGTCGAATATCCTCACGCCCCAGGAGGACCTTATCACGGACCGTGCCTGGTCTCACGCACGCGGAGCTCATATCTTGCAACTGGCACGAGAAATTCGGGATATCTTAGGTACAGAGTGGGTTGATTATGTCTGGGCCAGTCCGTCACCTGACTTTGTGAATTCGTTACCTGAGGAGCATGTCGCTGTTGTGCAGAGGATCAAGGCCGAGGAGAAAACGGGACAGAAGCCATACCTCTCTATATCTGATACAGCTATCAAGGAGGATCCTATGCTGACACCGCCATCAGATGTGGAGAAGCAGCTTGCATAGAACTAGAAAGACTGAATAAACTATATCGAGAGACAGCCCTTATGCCGCCTCCCAATGTTTTCTCGCTTCTCCTATAGTTAGTTCCATTGGTCTGGGTTAGACGAAGATTTCCTGGGCGGGTACGACGGGGCTCAGCAACACGTGGAGATGGGCCACGTCCGATAGCAGAAAGGAAAGTTCGGCGTGTAGTCCCACGCACAGGCTCCTGACGCCCCAGTCCTCTCCCAGAAGTCGCATGTAGCGCTCTCTGGGTGAGAAAGAAGGCATGGGAAGGAGAGGGCAAATAGAAAAGCAAGAAAGATAAACGCCAACAAAACATAGATCCACGTTGGGCGCGAATCCACGATCATTGGGGGGTTTCATTGGAATCACTAACAGCGTCCCATGTAGGGACTAAAGAACTGCAAGAACTAAGTGCTCGTCGAGGGGACCCGAGAAAGCATTAGACGTTGAGGCGCCGGATCGACCTGACCAGATAGTGAAAACAAGATCATCCAGGGTTTGAGATTGTCGAGGCTTATCCACATTGAAACTAGCTCTCAATCAAATACGATTGAAAACAAACTTCAACATTCAGACGCCCTAATCAATTGTAACCCGGGGACAAGTCAACAGATTCTGGCGAATCGGAGTCCGGGAGAGAATCCTAAATAGTAAGTTACTGTTTTCGTCTCAAGCTCAAAAGAAGAATGCTCAGTATCGAGTTTCCACCAGCCATTTGCTACGCTTCTCGCCATCAGAGGGAGAAGCGCACAGTTTTGCCGAAGGACACGCGAAAGATATCACCGGCCCCACCATACCAATATTGCACACATCCCTTTCTCTTCCCCGTGCACATCACCAAACCGTTCGAAGTAAGGGGTATCATCATACAAAAATAAAGCATACAAAAATAAACCAAAAGAAAGTCGTTGCGGGCGTGGGGATGGAGACTCAAATTTATGCCAAAGCGAGGAGTTTCTGCTCTCTGCTGTCCAAGTCCGCATTCATCTGCTCATCGGTCTCGTAACCTGCATGGCGACGAGCTTGGCGGAGGCTGAGGGTATTGGGGAGTTTCTTAAGGTCGGGCCTCAGGCGTTTGAGCCTGGCAGCACGCTCCTGGCACAACTGACGTCTTGTCTCACCCTTCCGAGCCTTGGCAGATTTTGCGTCGGGTCCGGCCGCTTCATCGGAAGAAATATCTTCTGGCTCCGACTTCGTTCCCTTCGACTTTGACTTGGGCTTTTTGGCAGGCTTTCGACCTGGAGGCGCTGGGAGGGGAGAGCCGGCTCCGTCGACAGGAGGGGGAGCAGGAGGGGAGGCTCTGTTAGCAGGAGGGGATCCAGGCGGCGGAGGCGGCGGAGACACCCTGTAACGAGCAAACCTCTCTTCTGTCATGAACACTTGACGGAGTTGGAAACGCTGTTCGATGTATTCATCAAAGTTCGCCGCAATGATGGGTTCAAGAATGCTCTTGTTCGATCCTTGGACAAGTGCAAGATATTCCATGCGATTCCTCAGGGCAGTATGCGCATTAGAAAAGGCTCGGAAGATCAAACCAATTTCCTTTGTGCCACCCGAGATGTCGTTGTCTCGGTTATTGGGATCTTCGATCGTGAGACGATCGGGATTGCCAAAATAATAGCCCTGTTTGACATGATCAGCTGACTTGTTGACAAAGAATGCAAATCAAAATCTACTAACCTTGTTGAAATAGCCTGGAGGGTCCATCCGGATTGCCAATTTATCATAAGAGAATTGCTTCCCGTAGAAATTGAAAAAGTCAAGCAAGATTGTTCCCAGGTTTGGCTGCATATGGCCCTGGGGTAGATGCTGGAGAATACTTGTGACCAAGCAAGTGATAGAGAAACCTCCTAGTCCACCAGTAGGGACTTCGTTAAGGCCGCGGATCAACAAGAACTGCTTAATCACGGCCAGGATAACCGGCATCATCGGGTACTGGGTTTTCCATTTCTGGAATGTGTCATTGGCGATCAAGCCACTGTCGTTGTCGAAAGACAAATCCACTCGCAATCCAGTCAGCTTGTCCACATACTTGAGGATTGGCACCCGGGCGGAGGCAATGCATTCGATCGAGTTAGGAACAGCAATATTTGTGCCCTTGAGGAAATTCGAGAACGCGTAGAGTTGACCCTTCCTCTCTCCGAATGTTCGAACTCCCGTTCGTAAGAAGGTGTGAGAAAGCAGTACTAAATCAATATCAGCCGTGGGGAGATAGAGACCCGAGGCAAAAGAACCAAAGGCCCGAATTGAAACGTTATGGTATCGATTTTGGAATGCAGTCTCCAATCGGTTGACAAGATCTGCACGGACGATATGTTCGAATTCCTGAGGCTTGGCCCAGTGATAGAAGCTAAGAATCTCGTTATGCAGCCTAGTTTAGATGTTAGAGAGGAATGAAAGAAAGCGCATTGGATAGTACTAACTGAGTTCCCACGTGCAATGAAACCGGGGTGCCCTCGAACCAAGGCGTGCCTGTCTCTGCGGAGAGCGGTTTCCATTGATCGATAACGGATCCATCGTAGTTGAACCTGCTGGCAGGCTTGCCGGTCTTTCGAGAGTATCCTTTCATCTCATCCTCGCGGGTGCGCTTTCGACTCGTGATGGCGGGATCCAGGACTTCCTGGGCCTTTGGCCCTTTGGGGGCGTTCTCAGGAGCATTACTCTGAGGAATTTCCGGTTCGAATGACATCCCGAGAGAAATGAAGTCTGAGTTCTGCTTGACTGCATCCGTCTCGTCGGTCTTTGCAGCAGTGTCAAGTCTCGCCTTGCGAATCAGCTTCACAACATCCACCCGTTTGTTTGTAGTTTCGGCCGGAGGAGGTAGCGCAGTGTACGGATCGGGGTTCGACCATTTCGGCGCAGGAGGAGCTGGAGCAGTCTCTTGAGGCCCATCGAGAGCTAGCGCACGTCTCTTACGTGGTCGCTCGCCATCAGAGTCATCAGACATGTCCATTTCTGCCTCTTCGCTGTCGCTCAAAGTGGAAAGTTCAGCAAATTTGAGCCCAGGCTTAGTTTCGCCTTCCAGCCGTTCGGGTGTGCTTTCCCTCTTCGAGGACAACAATGGTCGGTCCGAGGTGGCTGGTTTCTGGTAGCGGAAAGTGAACTCATGGCGCGGGTTAGGACGCGAACCACGATAGTTAGAACTTCCTCTGAACTGGAATGGGGCTGATTGAGGCATTGGCATTTTTGGACAGCTGCAGTTAAGCAGCAAAAATGCAGACGCGTGAAGGATGAAGAATAAAGAGTGTCGAGTTTCGACGCGAAAAAAAAAAAGATCTCCGAAAAAGTCAGGCGGAGGGAAGGCGGTGACGGAGTTGGTCGCACCTTCCACGTGTGTGGCTCAGGAAGGTGCGACCACGGGCACTAACTAACCACCTACAACATATGGGAGTACACAAGATGACATTCATGGATTCAATAATTGTTACATAGTATCTTTCATATGTCGACTAGTTTTCTTTGAGTGTATCTTGAGGCCCTCCTCTAGAATATGAATCAAATCGTGTTGCACCGCCATCTCAGCAAAGCTGATACGATTTGTTGTCCATTCCAACCAGTCCTCAGCTCTAGCACCATTTGCCTGGAATAAGCCCACACTCACATCAATTAGCAGCGGTCGTTCATCACAATGCCAAAAAGCAGTAGCCCCACAACAGCTGCAGAATTCTCTATATACCCCTGGTGAACTTCTATGCCGCCGCATAGTCCCTGCATCGAACATAAGTGGTGATCCATCTGTATTAAAGATGTTGGACTTGGGTATAAATGCCCAAGTTTGGATGGGAAATCCACTGCTTAGTCGGCAGCTATTGCAGACACAGGTTCCTGTAATATATTTCGTACCGCCATCTCGCAGCCACCATTTGATATCGTCAGGATTCGCCCCAGACCCAGTATAGTATGGAACCAGGAGGTCTGGCCATGGTGAGGATGCTTGTAAGGACGATGCATCGGGCTTGGTGATATAAAACTCGATTCCTCCACAGAGGCAACGTGCCCGCAGATGCTGGCTTGTCAATGTATACTCCGCCGGGTTTATCGATTCTCCCTTAGGACTCTTGTTGCTGGTTGAAGTATGTAATCTGCAACCTGTAACGGTGGACTCTGTTCCAGGAAGCAGTGTACTGAGTCCACCGTCACCAGTTTCGCTACTTTGCCAGTGCTCAACTGCTTGGACCGAGGGGACGCTCTTTGCTGTCAGCAAACCTGAGGCAACTAAAACCTGTCCCCCAGGCTGTATGCGAGCGAAGACGTGGGCACCACATGTCTTACAGAAATAACGGCTAATGTGGTTGGACTGTTGATATTCCTGAAGCCCATCTAGATTCGGTGGTTCATGTTGGAGGAGATAATACGACGAAGACAACTGCCCAGTCACCATCCGACAGCCGTTGCAATGGCATAGTTGGAGTTTGGATTGGTCGATAACAGAGTCCAATTGGATAGACAAAGCTACGCTTCCGCATATGCAAGCAATAGGAGTAGTCATGGTTTAAGGATGCAAGTATTATCAAGATCTCACACTCTCGAAAGCAATGCGCTGGCTATATGCGTAAGCGGGGACAGAAAAATATGCTCACAAGTGTAACGTGGAACGAGATGCAAGCAATGAGAATTCACTTAAGGGTATCCCGGAAAGTCACGAGTATATAAGGTCCCGGCCCCATCCCTCCTCTCTCTTCTCCCCCACCTCCCTTTACAACCAACACAACTTCCAAAAGCTTCACCAGTTTTTACCACTCCAAACATACAAAATGAGTAAGCACTTTCATCTTCCATGCTATACATGACTTCACAAATTAGTGAAGAACCGCGCTTTTTGCCCTGGCCCGATTTCCGAAATGGCGGGGTCATAGCGGGGTTGTCCCTCGTCATATTTCACCTTTTTTTTTTCTCTTTCAATGCTAACCACTGTGACAGGCGACCACGGATGCAGCTGCGGCACCTCTTGCCAGTGCCCTGCCGGCTCTTGCCAGTGCCCTGTATGTGATATCCCCTCCTTCGATGACACCTGGCTGACCCGACCCCTCAATTTATATAGAAGAAATAAATCACCCATAAGGGCACGATGAGTTCGATTCGAACATTTCAATGGATATGAGCACGCAGTGAGACGGAGGATATGATTCGGAAAGCTCCCGATTGTGTTCCTTGGGGATGCACGTCATGTCATAAAAGAGGGGGGTCATAGTGAATGAATGATATATGCGGTTGCTCGACCACTTTTATTCCTTGTAGAACAAGTACCTTGTGGGAATCAGATCTAATATTTGGGTCTGAAGATCGGTATGGGTCAACCTTGGGGGCACAACGGCCTACTTGACATACAACATAGATATACGAATAGCCTAACTATTAGTTAGTAGTCACCTACACCTAACATACAACATACAACATAGCTTCTACTTAGGTACCTCGGTACATACTTAGATTAAACCACCCATACTCAAGCCAACACACATCCTGGGGGAGTAGACATACTCCCAGAGGCCGAGTCACCGAGAATCCCGTTTGATACAATATCAGGCACCCTTCCCAACCCAACAACTCAGTCCACTAAGTGATCGCCCCATCGCCACATTGACCAGATACGGAAATATCCTTCCCGCTTTTCCACTATGGTTTGCCGATGCGGCATTTTCAACCTCTCCAACATCAAACGTTTGGAGATCCCAACACCTCGTACGGCGGAGAGTTGAATGTAAGAAGACATAAAAAGTGGGACACGATGCTGCACGAGTCCAAGAACAGTAGGACCGGATCGGAGCCAATCATAATCATGCATGATGCACATCAGAGAGGGTCTGTGATATGCTCTGGTAGCTTCCAAGCTGCAGCCTCTCCACTTTCTCGGTGCCTCGCTGTTTTGTCTCTGGTTCTCAGTGATATCCCAAGGAGTCTGTGCCCGTAAACTCCGTACTACGAGGCCCATACGTACGATATAGGCGTATCTCTATGCCACGTACATTGTACAAACTGAGATGCCTCTCAAAGTCTGTGTTATTAGATCTCGCCCCTGGATACATAGTATAAACGGTTTCTTTTCTTGAATAGAGATTACCAAATGCAATATGTAGGTCATGATCTAATGCTCAAGCTGGCCTCGGGAGCTAATACAACCCCAAGCATGCAGGTGAAACTCCATGAGCGTCTCGCCCGTCATACACCTTCAGTACACAAATACTCCATAGTTACCCCGAAAGCAATCAAGAAAAAAAAATTCGAAAACCGAAACACCATGGTATAGCTCCACCTGGTGGATATGAACATTCTTCTCAGGTAATCCAGGGCTACCAATGGGGTTGGATAGCACCCCCCCTCCAAGGTCCCCAATCCATGAAAACTTTGCCTCATAGGCTGCCACGACGATAGTCCAACCCGAAACCGCTGCAGGCGCCAGAAATTACATACCTGGTCCTTACCTGCTAGGCACTCCCCATCTTTTCTTTGAATACAACGTTTACCCTAGTTCGTTATAGTACTTACGATCCACATCTCTCGTACGCCAGTTGTAGGTATGACTGTACTCGTGAGATAATAAGAGGCCCGTCCCGAAACCAGTGGATCAAACATGGCATGCAGATCTGCGTCGTACCCAAAACATGGCCGTCATCGTGGCATGATAATGAAAGTCATAATTTTAATTAAACATACTATTAGGGAATGTGTGTGTTACCCTATAACCATTTAGTATATTCAATCATTTGAGTCTTATATGCATCCACCTGATAGCCATCTACATAGTTAGAATGTATCATATGATCAATGAAATACGTATTCAAGTCCAGTTGAGATCTAAAGATTAACAATTTACACATATAGTACATCCATATGTTGTACTCCGTACAGAGTACAGGCAAAGATGATCGTATCTGGCAAAGCGTAAACAACGCATGCGATAGCTCCACAAAATGTACCCCTGCGCGACTCTTAGTCTTCAGCCGAGACTAATAGACCAGCCATATTATCCATATTATTCGCATGAACCCCGGAGCTACTCCGTACATAACCTGATTAACCTGATTAACCTGATGATGTTGCACTCACCATACATATTTATACTACCGAGCAAATACCGAGAAAGATAACATTTAGACTTCGTAAGAAAATATATCGGATATCAACCTTTTCGTCGGTATCCGCGCCATATCTTTACCCGAAAGGGGCTTTAGTACATCATAGGCAGACCCCGATAGGCTCCGTTTTATTGGCGAGCGGTAGAACAACCTGGATATAGTACTTTTTACAGCGGATAGCGCGTGAGAAAAGGCCAAAAGACATGATAGGTGGCAGGCTGATTGGGGTTGGAAGGATCTTGAGTGGGATGCAGGACTGAGTTCATTTGACTCGACCACGCGATACGATGGAGTGTGAACGGGGCGCCGCGGCGACGTTACTACGTCTTGGATTGGATGGAGTTGCATGATAGCTAATAGCTGGGAAAATTGAATTATCCGCCCTGTTATTATTTGATCGGGAGGAAGTAGCAGTCTCGTGAATTCCAGAGGTATAAAGTAGCCCTCATATCCTTCCCCTGTTGGACTTTTCTTTCTCTATCCAAGCCATCGATATCCAAGCCATCGATATCCAAGCCATCGATATCCAAGCCAAACACTACTCTTAAACTTCTTTTTCAAGGTTCTCTACCTACCAAATCTATATTCATCATGTCTCCCTGCACCTGCAACTGCTGCTCCGGCGAGTGCAACTCCTGCTCTTGCTCTACCTGCACTGTATGTCATTGCTTTCTCTCTCTTCGTGTCTTATAGCCACCATTACCTAGAGTGGGATGCGGCCCCGGGGCGAAAGATATACTAACTACCCTTCTAGCACTAAGCCGCCTCACTGGCCTGCACCACCGCCATCTTCCTCCAATACAACCCATACCAGACCCGGACTCCCACTGCTGTCGAACTAGCCGGTGTGCGGGTGTCCTCATTGTCAAGGCTATGAGATAATTCCATTGTGATTGTATGCTAGGATTTGGGGATAGGGCCTGGAGCCTTGTGGATGGGGTGTTAAGTTTGTTAAGTTTATATAGGTTCAGATTCGACCTCATGTATGTTCTTGTGATTTAGTTTTTCTACCAACTATAAATCTGGCTATATTATCTTTGTGATCTCTAGTAGTATCTCTATGCTCCAATAAGTGATATGATCTTGTTCATGTAATGAACCATCCGCGTATCTAGCACATAAATTGATTGCATCCGGAACACAATACTGAGGAACAAGAATAAAAGTGTACAAAAGCGCTCAAATTGCAATTCATTCTAACTAATGGGATGCAAATGAAATAGAAATTCAATACCTATGTATTAGCAGATCTCTAGATCTAATATAATCATCACAGCTCGTCTTTCGAGCGAGGCGCGCCGTTACCTGCATCTTCACCACCTGCACATGCAGCCGGCGACGTAACAAGCATGGAGTACACGCACTTATCATCTTCGGCTGTTTTAAAGATCTTGTTTTCCTCACCACACTCCAAAATGACCTTGGTTGACCGGTTAGGTCCATTCCAGCAAGACTGGCCGCGGTTGTACTCAATAGTCATCTTCTCGACATTGACGACCTCACCAGCCGCGTTGACTTCTTCCACGCTCGTGGTTCCAACATTCGAGAATTTGCCCATGGACACGGAACTTCCTCCCTTCCTCTGGTTCTGCTTGGTCGACTCAAGGAAGCAATGCTCGTACGTGTACTCACCCGCATCCTGGGTGATACATACTCCCTTGAGTGCGCGGAAGATAGAGTTAGGGCCATAGTCCTGCTCAAGGTCGGCACGCTGGTCGCGTAGCTTGTTTTTGAGGCTTGTAACAGAGTCTTGCGCGGCCTTGAGGGCGTCGCGTGCCTGGGTCACAGCTTTGGATTCCGAGGAGGAAGACTCCTCACTGGCCTTGGGCAGAATGCCTTTTTCTTCAAGGAAGCCCCTAACAGAAATGGCCCTGTCTTCGATGAAGTTGACAAGTGATGGTGGGAGATAGGCAGCGAGCTTGTACACTATAGTTACCCGTTAGTAATCTATACTAGGTGTCACAAGAAACTAAGGGATGACGTACCTAGATCCGAGTCATTGCATCCATCTTCCTCGTTTTCCCAGTGCTCCCAGTTAATACCGCTATCCTCGCCGTCGGCCTTGGCAATCTCGTCCAAGTCGCGGTCCAGGGCATCGTTCGCACCCTCAGTACCCTGGTCACGAGCAGCGTAGTCCTCATAGCTACGGACCGCACGTTTGACACCCTCGTCATTGAAGTTGGGGTTGTATTCCACCTTGACCTTAGCCAGAATATCCTCAAGCTCCTTCACCCGCTCGCGGGCGTCATCCCGCTGGCGACGCACATCAACCAACGCATTGCGTAGCTCGTCAACACGGGCCTTGGCCAAGTTGGAAAGGGCACTGACTTTGCCCTTGCCCTTTCCAGTGCGGACCACCTTACTGTCCTGCTCCTGGGCGAGCTTCAGATCAGCCTCAAGGTTCTGTTCCTTGAGCTCAGCGCCCTGAACCCCGGCCTCTAGCACAACGATATGATCCTTAATCTCCTGCTGTTGGCGACCAGCATCGACAAGAAGATCCTTCTTCTTCCTCAGGGCAGCAGTCATCGACTTTTGATTCTGCTCCTCCTGCTTCCGCCACTGCTTGCCAATCTCCTTGCATCGGTCTTCACACTTCGTGCCCCCAACACGAGCCCACTCGTCGCTACCATCACAGCACTCCTCGTAATCACAAATACCATCGTTGATACGCTGGAATGGAACGTATGATGGCCGGTGGCCCTTGTTTTTGCAGTAGAATCCCGGGAGGGCGAGTGCAGTGTTCAAATCGCTATTCCCAGGCCGGTCGGCCACTGTTAAAGGCGAATTACGCGAGATGTGTGCGCAGGCAGACGTGCCGGGCTCGTCGCTTCCGTCAGGGCAGTCACAGTAGTCATCGTTGACGGCCGAGAAAGGGATTTTGACCGAAGGATTCGAGATACAGGTGAATGGAGTTGAGTCCTGGTAGAATTTGGCAACTAAGGATACTACATTAGTATAATCTCTAAGAAGAAAAGGTTCAATTGCCTATTATAGCTCACTGCTACATGAACCGGCTGCATAAACACTAATGGAGATCTAAATCCAGGGTTCAAACAAATACTCACATTCTGGGCCCAAGCCACGGGGACGGGCAGGCTTGTCACTACTAGCCTGGGCCACCGACCCAGCGGCAGCTAGCAACAATAACGACTGAGGGAGTCTCATGCTTGAGGCATTGAGCTTTGTTTGTGGAGGTGCGGAGAGAGCTTCTGGCCAGCTGTTGATAGCGGGCCCGGGCTGGATCTAATCGCCGCTGAGTCAGCACGCTATCTTTCCAACTTTATCGTGGCGAAGTGGGAGCATCTTACATCAACCGCATCGCAAACATGGGTAATGACGGTGGCAGGTGAGTGACTCTGTTATATATGCGCTACAGACTGTGCATTTCTAACACTAGGATTTCTAGTATTCCGACTCGCCGTGAGCTCGTCCGCGAAGCAGCCCGTGCCCCGAGCACGGCGCAAGTAAAAGAAACTCAGCGCGAGCAGCAAGAACACTCCTGGACTACCTGTCCCCTCTCACACAAGTCCCTATCACGGCCAATTGTATCAGACTCAGTCGGGAATCTTTACAACAAGGATGCTATACTCCAGTTCCTGCTCCCCGGCGACGATGTCGAGGGCATTAGCTCCAAGGCCGACTGCGAAGAGATCCTGTGCGGACGAGTGAAGTCGCTCCGGGATGTGGTCGAGGTGAAATTCGAAGTCGACACAGAGCTCACCGAGCACCCTTCAGGCCGTGCTTTTGCGCCAAGTGAGCGCCGCGAGGGCTGGATCTGTCCAATCACCGCAAAGCCGTTGGGACCGAGTGTGAAGTCTGTGTACTTGGTGCCGTGTGGACATGTGTTTACGGAGGAGGCCATCCGACAGCTTAAAGGCGACAAGTGCTTGCAGGTAAGAATCAGCCTTCTATACAAAGTGGTGATAGTGGCTGACTGTGTGTGTGCTAGTGCAACGAATCCTACACCGAAGATAACATCATTAACATCCTTACCACCAAAAAGGAAGACAAGGAGCGTTTGATGGCACGCGGCCAGAAACTTGCCGAGCAAGGCCTCACACACTCCCTCAAAAAAGCTCCCGGCTCAAAGAAGCGCAAGAAGAACGCCACCGCCGAGGGTCCGACTGATGCCGCCGGCCCCATTGAGCCTGCTGGCTTGGTAGTACCCAAAGTGCCTAAGCCATCCGCAGATCCTAAAAGCCGAAGCAACACTTCCACACCAGTGCCTAGTACTGCTTCTGGCAATGGAATCAAGAACGCTGCTACTTCTTCGCTCACTGCTCGTGTGTTGGCGGAAGAGAATGAGAAGAAGAAGCGCCGGAAGATGATGGGTGGGAATGAGAATATCGACAGTCTTTTCACCAAGAAGGACGGCGGGTCTAAGAATCGTGATTTCATGACCAGAGGTTTTTCTATATCATGACCTGAGCGTGCTCCATCTTTCTGCTGCGCAGAGGTAGACACTAGGGCTGAATGGAGTGCCTTTGCTTTTCAATGTGACACAAGGTCATGGGGGAGTTTTATTTCCGGAGTTCATAGGGCTTTTGATGTTCTTCAATGATTGATGGTGATCATAGTATTGTATGCTAGAGGATTAGACTGCTAGCAATACCGTACATTCCAAAATTAACATGTACAATTATCTCAACTGACTTGACATGACGAAACGAAACAAGGACATGAAATGCAATTCAATCAACAATTCTAATGTACAAAAGATTGCTCTCAGATAAAGGGAAACGATGCCTCCAACATTCTACAAAAAAAGAGAGGCCTAGGCATTCAGCTCGGTCTTCTTAGCCTGCTTCCAGGGCGGCTGATGTTTCTGACCTAGGCTCTTGGTGATCAAACCATTCTTGTAGAGCGCAGAAACAACAACCTTCTTGCGGCCAAGATCCTCATCATTGTCATGGCGAGTCTGGCGGACGTCAAGAATCTTGACATTAGACAATTTAGAGGCGCCGTTCTTGTCCATAATCTTATGGAGAAGCACAGGAGTCAATCGGGTGGTCTTTTTGCGAAGTGCCTCCTGTGCGCGGAAGACATCTCCAGTAGTGGCGGAAGAGGTGACGATGTGGTCAGAAATGTGCTGAGACATCAATTTGGAGAGGCGGGCGAAGAACTGAGATATGATTGTCAGTGATATCGACATGAAAAGGTCGAAGGGGGAATACGAACGACAAACTTGACGTTTCCATCAGCCAGCGACAGAGAACTGAGGCGGTTCTGCATCTGACCCTTGGACTCTGCGCCATACAGGCGATCTCCTTGCTCGCTAGCTGCCTTCAATTTCTCCTGGAGAGCGGTCTCGCCGGCCTTGCTGTCCACAGCACCCGCCGCATTGCGCAGAAGAGATTCCATTGTTTTAATGTCGGGGAACCGAAGACGGTCACCCCAGTTACCAGACTCGCCTTCGATCTTAACCGACTTGAGCTGGGCTTCGATCGCTCGGCTGCTAGGCTTGCTAACAACAGTGACTTTTCCTCCCAACATTTGCATCAAACCAATTTCCACGGCAGCTTGGTGTGCAGCCTTCAGGTACGGTAAAGGGCGTGGGTTGTTGTACCATCTATTATCAATCAAGAAGGACATCGTCAACAAACCAATCTAGAAATCAAACCAGGGTGCAGAGGCATCGAATTGGAAACTTGGATCGAACGTACGGTTTGACTCTATCGGCATGCCCTTTCGGACCCCTCAGACGCCATTCTTTTTCCTTGAGATAGCCAATCCTGGGCATTCCCTCCCAGGTCAGGTTCTCCTCAATTTCTTCGGATCGTGCTTGACCCTCTTCGAGACTAAATGCCTCCTCTGATGCGGGCTCTCCGGGGCTCATACCAGTTCCAGGCATGATCTGACTTCCAGTGTAGGGGTCTGCTGGGCCTGGGGGTTTTTCGGTGCCCCAAATCTTGCGCCGAGCGCGCTCGAGGATTCCGGGGGAGGAGTCGGAGGCATAGCGGCGGGTTTGGCCGAGAGGCGAGATACGGGGGGTGGCTTGAATTCTGCAGCTGGAACAGATGAAATTTGCCTCCCGCAGAGGGAGGCGCATTGAGGGTCGCATTATTAAGGTGGGCGCGGATGCTGTTTGAGAGCGTCGAGCTGGCGGAGTTGGCCCGGACGGAGAAACAAATTCAAGAAAGGCACGGGTCACGTGTTGGTGATCTTGATGCTTGGCATTTTGGTGTTCTGCCCTTCCTCAAGGCTAGGACTTTGGTATAAGAAATAAAATACTCTACGCATATAGAATTGCATATTGTGGCTTATTCTATCTGTTTATGTTCCAATTTTTCAAAAAGTCCACACTTGATGTCCAATGAGAAGCATATTTCATATCTGTACAACCCGCCAAAACTGCCAGTAACTGTAGACTACAATCACAATCACATCTTATTCTTCACAGGTAGGGAGTACACTACACTCAACATGCGATATACCAATATCTCTTAGATGCTACTCTCAAGTCTTCGGCTACAAAATATAGTCGTACAAGGAAAAACAATCATTCATAGTATGCAAACTGTATATACACATGCACCGCTGGTATCATACTAAGCAAATTCGACAAAAAGAACATTTTGTGTAAAGCAAGTAAAAAGACTTACTCACGGACAAACATGCCCGCCATACCCATACCCGTACCAATGCACATACTAATCACACCAATTTCCTGGCCACTGCGCTCCAACTCAGGCAGCAGAGTAGCGAGTTGACGAGCACCAGTAGCTCCGAGGGGGTGACCGATAGCAATCGCACCACCGTTAGGGTTAACCTTCGCCTGGTCGATACCAAGCTTGCGAACGCTGTAGAGCGCCTGCGAAGCGAAAGCCTCGTTAATCTCCCAAACACCAACCTCGGGAACCTCAACACCAACAGCCTGCAGAAGCTTAGGGATGGCAACAGCAGGGCCAACGCCCATCTCATCGGGGGCACAGCCCGCGACAGCAGACGCGACCCAGCGCGCCTTAATAGAACCGGACAGACCCAGCTCCTCGGCGGTGGAGCGACGCATCAACAAAGCAGCGGCAGCGCCATCACTAACCTGCGAACTATTACCGGCGGTGCTGGCACCGGTAGGCGAGAAAGCGGGCTTGAGTGCGCCCACCTTCTCGAGGGACAGTCCGTGGCGGATACCGTCATCCTGGGAGACTGTCACTTCCTTGGCGGGGGCATCCGGGTTCTCGGGGTCGAGGGTGTTGGTAGTGACAGAGATGATTTCGGAGTCGAAGCGGCCAGCCTTCTGTGCGGCGGAGGCTTTTGCGTGGGACTCGACGGCGAAAGCGTCCTGGTCTGCGCGGGAGACACCGTAGCGGGACGCGACGTTCTCTGAGGTAATTCCCATGGGCATGATGCAGTCGCGGGCGTCCTGGGAATGGGACTCCTTCAGCTCGGGCCAGAGAACTGTGGGGATGGCGCGGGAGCCGTAGTTGCGGGTCATGGATTCCATGCCGCCGCCGACGCCGACGTTAATGGCACCGGCACGGATGCTGTTGGCGATTGTTGTAATCGCTGCCAGGCCGGATGAGCATTGGCGGTTGATCGTGTTGAAGGGAACGGAGTGAGGGAAGCCGGCGTGGATCTGGCCCATGCGGCCGGCTTTGGCGCCGCCTAGTTCTTGTAGGACGGAGCCGATGAGCACATCGTCGACCTGAGCGGGGTCCAAGTTTGGGTTTGCCTTCAGTGTTGCTTGCAGTACGCTGGCGAGTAGCTCTTCTGGGTAGGCGTCCTTGAAACCACCCTTCTTAGCGCGGGTGACGGGTGTGCGCAGCGAGGAGAGGATGACGATGTCATTAGGGGACTTCTGGAGTACTTGGCGGAGTCCGCGGGGAATTGGAGAAGCCATGATTTTGTAGGTTGATTGGATTGTTTGGGATTAGTTGAAAGTTGTGGACCGAGGGTCAAGAGTATTTCCGGTCTTTCGCGGCGCTGTTAGTTTCGACTTGAATATCATGCTCTGGGATAGTCACTTACATCTGTACAATGGCTAAAGTATGCAACAAAGAGAAAAGAGAGAAACCGACAACAATTCATTCCAACACTCCTCGGGACACCAGAATTACTTATAAGCAAATGCCGGACAAAATTCCGGGGTCGGAAGTAGTTTGGTCGACTCCCGTTCCTGAGTGGCCACGGCACTGAAGATCGGCTAAGCGGTTTCCCGCGAAATGTGGGGAGAAGATGTTAGACGTTCCAACTTCTCTAGTTGTATAGTCGAGGTAGTCTGTTAAGTCTGCTACCTATTTCTACAAAAATTCCTCTACATATTCTACAAAACTGAATAATCCTTATACTAACTAACAGCCATGCAACTATGAGATCTACATCGGGACCCCACCGGATGCTTATGTCAGCCATTTCGGTTCGGCACTTTGGAACTGGAAGCTAAGCCGAGGATAATGACGATGTTCCCGATTTTGAATATCTTTGGATTCATTTGAAAATTATGTGATAAACTGATTGATAACCCTGATGAGGGCACATAGGTGGTTCCCCCAGCTCATTACTCCATGAAAGCCATCTTGGCCAGGCAAGTAGCCTCCATGTTGTTCTCCTTGGGCACAAGCCAGAACTTAACCCGAACGACCATCTCTACCATGGTGAGGCCAGCTTCTACCAGCTTGAACATATCAGCATTGGCCACCGGGGCTCCCTTGCAAGTCTTCCATCCATTCTTCTTCCACTTGGGCAGCCACTCCGTCAAGCTGCGGACCAGGTACTCGGAGTCTGTTTTGATAACAAAGGTACTCAACGGCATGAGAACCTTGCCGTTGCGCATCATGTTGTGGCGTTTTTCGATGATGGAGGTTACATTGCGCAATGCCCGCAGGCAGGCGGTCAACTCGGCGATCTGGGTCGTGTGGCTGTGGTCGTCCTTACCTGGAATGGGCCAGGAGATGTTGCCAGCGTTGCCGCGGCCGTAGAATACTCCGATTGCCGAACGTTTCCCAGTCTTTTCGGTAAGACATTCCCCGTGGATGGCGATGATCAGGTAGTCCTCGTGGCCTTCGTATTGTTTGCAGTCCAGGCATTTGCGGGTCGAAGTGGGACATGCAAGACACATCCACGAGCCAATGTCGATTTCAATTTCCTTCAAAGTGAAGCGGGTGGGGTATTCGTCTTCGGCACGGAAGCGGCGGTCTGCAGGGGCTATCTCTGTGGTCTTCTCGGGAGAGCCACCTACATGGTGGCGACTGCCATTGGTGCTTGGACCATGTGCAGTGGAGCTGTGCACGCAGGTCTCCTTTCTCTAGCGATAATTATCAGTATCTGAAAGCACGGTCTTTGTACAGCGAGAAAGGGTGAGTGAGGTTCTTCCAAAGTGATTCACCCGAGGTCGGGACCAGTGTGCTTACCTGAGACCCATGGTGGGCTTTTCCTTTCTGGGGTATCTGTGACTCTCGGGGCACGCGAGCCAATTCCAGCAACTCATGTTCCTTGAGCCTCTTTTTCTTCATGTTGATACGAACAGGGGCAACGGTTACAGGCATGGCTGAAGGTGCTTTTTAAGAGATGAAGTGTAGTCAGTCAAGAGAGTTGAAGTGAGGAAGAAAAGAAAAACTAAAAATTCAGAGGGGGGCAGTTGAAAACAAAGGTAAATGGAAGATGGAAAGAAAGAAAAGGACAGTCACGGTCAAAGCAGGTAGAGTCTAGAAGCAAACATAAAAGCGCACCTGCTTCTTGTAGCCCCGAGGTATATTCCAGCAAAGATGCAGTGCTGCCTTATGAAGACTACATAGTTAAGAGTCCTAAACACATCAGAATAAGAATCAAGGTCTGCTTTCAAGAATTAAATATCCCATCGGAGTAGAACAAAGAGCTGCAGTTTATCCCACTTTAGGTTAGAGAACAATGCCCATGCCATTAAGCGAATCAGCGCTGTAACAAAGGCAATGCCAAGAAAAGAAATCAGATAGAAGTGGACGTCGGAGCAAAGTATTATAGGAGAATTACGAGTGTGAAATCTCTTAGGTACATGGGCGCAACAGCTTAATGCTGTGTTGAGCTAGCTGGCGCATCAAAGGAGAGGCGCTGGTGATGTTTGGGGAATAGCTCATAAATTAGAAGTTGGTAGAGCTATCGAGGCCCTGTAAAGATGTCCAGAAATTGAGAGGTCGAGGTGCGTAGTGTAATGGAGGATGAATTCATTATTTGAAGAAGCTATGTTTAGAAACAGAGTGGGAATTGAACACGAGGCCTTGAGCGCCATTCATGTCACTCACAGGGGTCAAGTCGAGGTAATTCGTTCATAGACATCATGGGTCGAATGAACCAAGAAAGGACAATATGGCTCATACGGCCAGGAGTCCGGACAGTGATAACATTGAGGGCAACCTCGGCGAAATCCCAGAATAAAGCGGGCTTCTTCTCGGCAAGCCTAATCTGGGACCCGCGCGGCCATCTCGACTGTCGAGTGGGAAGAACCCGATAACGATAGAACTTGACGAAATTTGTCCCAACCCCTCGGGACGAGATTCCTCCTGTAGATCTCTTCAGCGTTCCAGGGGACCCTCTGCGACTACCGAAACACTCCTCCGTCGGAAGATGTGATGAAAGATCGTTAAATCAGATGGAATTGAATTAACGTTTCAAGGGTTGGTTGTTGTTCTAACAGGCGGGGCCAATGCCCACGCCCTATGAAAGCGGTGATATAACCGACTCTCCATTCGTCCGGCAGAAAGACTAAGATACCTAGGTACATTCCCTTACCTCTTTTTTTTTTTTTTTTTCAGAACTCGGGAGCCTCGAAAATCACGTGGGGTGATCGCGATAAGGTATGGTACCTAACGAATGTTAGGTACTAGACTCGGGTGCAGATTCGAGGGACGGGGGAAGATCGGGGATCGAAACAAAACGAACCAAGAGATTCCGAGGATTGCGAGTCCGAGTCCGTTATAGAACTGTAGTCGTACCAGGTCTGGGTAACCACTGCGAAGCCATTCTCGTTGAATGGACCGATAGAGCGAGTGTATGGGAGTGGCCAGTTCACGTTCACGGTGTTTGATGCACCGTCCGTGTCCTTGGGGTTGGAAATACGAGGGTTAAACTCCACTGTAGGCTAAGTACTTGCTTGGGTGCCAGAGAAGCGGAATGGGCCCTGGATGGGAGTGACCTCGGAAGGATCATTGATGTTGAGAGATTTGTTGATTAAGGTGTGCGGGATTAGCGAGGGTTGGCCAACCTTTTGGACCAGGCGGGGAGAGGGATCACCATTAGCCAATTGGTGAGGGTGGGCTTGGGTTCATCGGTGTTCAGCACCTGAGTGAACATATTTCTAGGAATTGGCGAAGGCAGGCTCTTCTGGACCAGAGGAAGGTTTAAGTTCAGGGGGGCAATCTCTCTGTTTTCAATTAATGGCTGGAATGGGTGGAGACACTGAAGAGAGAGAGAGAGATGTGACTGACTTACCTTGGCCTTCGAGTGCTCCAGGCTTTCAAGGGCTCGCTTTGAAGATGAGTTCATTGCCAGAGTTCCAGCTAATGTAATGCAAGGGAATAAGTTAGGGAAATAACATATCAGAAAGGAAGTACAAAGTACATAGTTACATATAACTAGTTAACTAGTTATAGATTAGTTATATAGTTCTGGAGGGGAAAGGCTTTCAATATGGACCACTTCCGAGAGGAACAATAGCGATTAGCTTAATTAGATTGTTTTGTTAATTAGAGATATCTTTAATTTCAATGAGAATTACATTTGGTCTGACTGACCGACTCCTGTTTTAGATGTTATTCTATTATTCATTGCCCGATTAGGTTCTAACTATATGATACATCAACAACACACATTTGACCAATCAAGTACTCTGTAGTACATAAGAGAATGAATGACTACGGAGTATGACAATGAAAATACAACATACAACATACATGACATGATATGCAGATCGGAGGGAGAATGATTGGGTGAAAAAGCAGTCGGACAACTGTTACGGAGTACACCGTGTGTGGTCATCCCCGGCCCGGTGATTGGATCTCTCATAATATGCGACAGCTAAGCCACCTGGATCTACATGAATTCCCCTATAGCCTAACTAACTACGGAGTAGAGAGGACAGGCATGAACATGCAGTAAATCACAGAATTAATTTTTATATTAATTTTTATATTAATTTTTGTATATTTTTGTATATTTTTATATATATTATATATTTTTTGATATTTTTTGATATTTTTAAAAAATAAAATAAATACCAAAAGAGTCCCCATAAATAGCACATTATGTACTTGCCAGTACAAAAACCCATCCCTTGTCTCACGAAATCCCTCGGCCCACTTTGCCTCTTAATTTTTGTGCCGTTTTTCTCCTTGACACGGTCCAACTTTTGTGAGTCATTTCTTCTGATTTAAAAGGATTTCAGTCTTGGAGATTCTTCTTCTGTAAATCTTCTATATATAATTTATACTAATCACCACTAGTGTTGTTTCTTGAACATCATGCCTCTCATCAACACTACTGAAGTCAACGAGGACACTCGTGGTATGTGGAATTGTGTACCCAAAGCCATATATGTGATGCTGATGGTATCTTTTTGTTATTAGTCCTCGGATACGACCCATTGCTGTCGCCCTACTTCTTGCAGAATGAGATCCCTGCGGTGAGTCAATGTGTTTTTTTTTTCCTTCACCCCGCTCTCTGCGGGGACATGGCAAAACTTCCAAGCGCACCAACTGACAGCAATTGTCTGTATAGCCCGCTCGTGCCATTGAGACAGTCCGTGCCGGCCGGAATCAAGCAGTTGAGATTATTGAGCAGCGCGATGACCGCCTGCTCGTCGTTGTCGGACCATGCTCCATCCACGACCCCGACACCGCACTCGAGTACGCCCGCCGGCTCAAGGAGCTTTCCGTAAAATTGGAGAAGGATATCTGCGTGATCATGCGTGCCTACCTGGAGAAGCCCCGCACAACGGTCGGCTGGAAGGGACTGATCAACGATCCCGATATCGACGAGACCTTCAACATCAACAAGGGTCTGCGCGTCTCCCGTAAGCTGTACACCGACCTGACCAGCACCGGACTCCCCATCGCCTCCGAGATGCTCGACACCATCTCCCCTCAGTACCTGGCAGACCTGATCTCTCTGGGCGCGATCGGCGCTCGCACTACCGAGTCTCAGCTTCACCGCGAGCTCGCCTCAGGCCTGTCCTTCCCCATCGGCTACAAGAACGGCACCGACGGTAACCTGACCGTCGCCGTCGACGCCATCGGCGCCGCCTCGCACCCCCACCGCTTCCTCGGTGTCACTAAGCAGGGTCTGGCTGCCATCACCAAGACCTCCGGCAACGAGCACGGTTTCGTCATCCTGCGCGGTGGCAGCAGAGGTACCAACTATGACCGCGCTAGCATCAAGACTGCCCGTGAGGCTCTCCGCTCCAAGAAGCAGCGTGAGGTCCTCATGGTCGACTGCTCGCACGGTAACTCCAACAAGAACCACCTTAACCAGCCCCTCGTCGCCAAGGAGGTCTCCGACCAGCTCCGTGAGGGTGAGACTGCTCTCATCGGTGTCATGATCGAGTCCAACATCTACGAGGGTAACCAGAAGGTTCCCCCGAGGGTCCGGAGGCTCTTCTCCGCGGTGTCAGCATCACTGATGCTTGCATCAACTGGGAGATGACCGTCGAAGTGCTCGAGGATCTTGCTGATGGTGTTCGTGCTCGTCGTGCTGCCCGTAAAGCGCAGCAGTAGAGATTGTTATTCTTCTCTAGATGATGCACTTCTTGTCTCTGATTTTCATAGCCCTTCTTCCGTGGAGGGGAGGGAGAACGGGTCTGGCATAGATACCTCGTTTCGGTGCCTGTTTGTTTCTTTTTCTCGGGTTTTCAGCGATTTTCCATTGTACCTTTTTTTTCCAGCTTGTTCCTTGGGAAGCACCCTTGGGATTCATGTGTGAATGTGTGTAGTCGGTGTCAAAAAAACATTTATGAGGGTTTTGCGTTTCGTTGGGCTTGAGGATTTCATTAGTATGAGTGGTCAAAAGTTATCAAAACATGATCAATGGCTGAAACTGCTTTTCTATAATTTTTCCCCCAGGGTCTTCCCCCTCTTCTTATAAGAATTCTTTATTTTTTCTGCTCCACTACATGCATGGACCATGTGTGGTGCCTAAGCCCGCGGCAAAGCGCTTCTCCGGTGTTGGGGATGGGTCCCTCCCTCTTTGGGGATTAGTGCGGAAACTTAGGTTAGAAAGGTCTGTTCTGGTGAAAATCACTGTTAAGAAGTGAACTATTAGTGGGTAACTAGTGGGGGGTTGTAGTATCGACATGTAGTATACACCGTAACTAGTTATCGTAGGTTACATTGTGAAGATGGATACGGAGTAGAAATGAGAGCAGATAGAAGCAGATCTATGTACTGTACACGATATACATGGAAGTCCGCCCGTCCACCCCTTGGGAATATCAGGACAGACTATATTGACTAGGAACACATTCCAGAAAGATAAAAGAACAAACGCCGGAAACCCCCTGGGAGAATGGAAACAGGCCACGAGAAAAGACCGCGACTTGCTATGCAAGAGAAAAAAGTATTGCAGATGGTGAGAAGTGAAGATCAGCGGAGGGAGGGAGATGGGTCCAGATTATGTCCGCTGATAGATGATGAAATCAGATCAGCATTAACATTCGAGGACGTTATGCCACTAGACCCGTCCATTCCATCCTTCGCTCTTTTGTTTGCTTGGAGGACCAAAGGTGACACACATCTATCGCCCCGTCAACCAGCCAGTCCAGCTCGATGTCTTAGTCTTCGCAGCTTGGTCCACGTTCTCAGCCAGCACATCCAACTGACCGGGCAAAGGAGCGCCAGTCTTCACTGCAGCAGCATCCAGAGCTTGCTTAGCCTGCACAGCCTCCATAACACTGCCTTGGGCATTGTCAGCACCCTCAATAGCCAAGCCTGATGCAGATTTTGGTGCAGTGTTGGCACCGCTGTCTTCCATGTTCAGCTTCTCGAAGAGGAATCGCTTCGCCTTGGCCCAGGGCTTCTGTGCCTTTTCCTCCTCGCGCTTCTGCTTCATAATTTCGCCGATCTTCTCCTTCTTCAAGAGCTCCTGCTGTTCGGTAGTTGCGGTGCCGTTGGCGTAGGCGACCTCGGCATCCTTGAGAGTCGCAAGTTCCTTCTCGACCCAAAGCGTGCGTTGGCGGCGGTTATAGAGAGTGAGCGAGACCATTGAGTAGACCGTAAGAACACCGCAGATACCTAGTATGATCCAGAAGGATTAGTATAAATCCGGTATGGGTGAATTGGGAGGTCTATTGGTTGTCCTGGCTGACTCGGACTTCGAAGCATCGTATGTTGTGTTGCTGGTACTTGCTCATTTTATTCCACGGGGCAGGAAACATACCGGACGCGGCAATCAATGAATAAACCATTCCCTTGTGCGCTTTATTGGCGAACTTCCGCCCAGACTCAATCCATCGATCCGCTCCGCTTCCAGCTGCCTGTGACTTCCGAGCAGCCCGTGCCTGTGCTCGTAGTCGTTCCACCTTCTCCTTGGGTGTCTCCGGTTGGCCATTCGGGCCAAGTTGCGGTGGTGATGACTTCGTGCTGGTGTTCTTCTTTCCGAAGTCTGGGGCCTGGTACGCGCCGCCGGTCTTGGAGTTGGCGTAGGGCCCGGTGGCCGTGAACCGCGTTGCGTCTGCGGCGGATCGGGACATGTTGGGAGTTCCCGGTTTCGGGGGATAGACCTCAATATAGGGATTGGGAAACAAATTAATATTACTGGAAATTGGCCGGAGGCAATTGGAGGGCCGTGGTGGGGTGATGGAGCTGGAGACACTTGATAAACCGGGGGATTTGCAGGTTGAAGGTAAATTTTCAGCACGGGAGATGCGCCAAGACATTCAAACAGCTTCAACTGATATGACTTCAATCTTCTTTCAGTCCTTTCGGTTCTCTAAGCTCATTCTTGGGAGGTTTTTTTATTATTCATATGCTATCAATAAATTATACCACTTATCATTTTTGCAAAAATCGACTGGTTTCTCTAAGCACACCCCTTCTCTATCTTTATTCTGATATATATCCTTTGTCAACCACACTTGACATCTACATCCATCTCCACTCATCACTTTAAATCTTTATTTATCAATTAGTCTACCGGGACTGATTTGTCGATAAGCAAATTTTGGACCAACATACACATCTTCCAAGGTCCCATCCGGAGGCTCTACTCCAATATGGGAGACGGCTTCTACAATGCCTCGGACCTGAACTCAGTCCTCAGCACCTTGTCTAGTCTAGCTTCTCAGGGCCAAGGAACCCCTAACCAGCATGTACCCACACATATTCAACCGGCAAGAACCATATCGTCTAAATCCAAGCCTTCGGAAGATCCACGAACGCCGCAGCCAAAGATAACAAGACCGTCAACTTCTACTTCTGCGTCTGACTCGTCAACTATCACAACTTGGCCTGCAGCACTAAAACATGTGATGCGCACCGTGGGTCAAAACGAAGAAACCCAAGCTCGCATTCGCGGTGTGATCCGAAGTCAACATCATCATGAACAACAATGGTTCCAAGCCCGTGAGGCACTATTGAAGCAGCAGCAGGGTCGTCCTGAGAAACAGAGGGAGCTAGATGCAGTCCTGTGAGTTTATTTCTATGCTATTGCTCTGCAGTGTTTTATTATTGACTAATCACTAATGCTAAACAAAAGGAGGTCGATCGGTGCCCCTGTAAAAGAGGAAGATGGCTCGGTATGTTCTCAATGTCCCCTTTAATTATTCGCCTCGACTGATTGCCATTAGACCGAGAAGGAGTTGGCCGCAGAGATTGCAACCTACGATGCAAAGGTGTACAAGGCAGCCGTGCAAATGGGAGATGCTATCATTGCCGAATTGCGCGGTCTGGGTATTCCATTCTTTACGCTTCGGAAGGAGTTGGTTGAAGATAACCCATCCAGTATAGAAAGCTCACAGCCGCGGAGCCAGACTGAGTCCGCTGGAACCACCTCATTGCCAATTGCCAAGTCTGAGCTTGTGAATTTGCAGCAACGCATGTTGGAATTGCTGGAGGATCTGTGTAAATAGTGAGATGTCTCTCAGCATTTGCGATCTATTCTCATCACTCACTGAGTGACTCTAGACTGGCATTCGGCGGATATCATAAATTAACTCTTTTTTTAGAAATTCCGTTCACTAGCTGCACTCTTTCTAAACAACATACTTTTCCTGATTGGGAAGCATCACGCGATCCCATATCAGATGTCTCGCTTTGAGTACTTGCTTCAATTGATTGGGATGAAGGGACCAGAGTCAGCACGCAACTACTCAGACTGTAACCGCTTGATTTGGTTTTGATTGATTGACATTGTCCGGTTGTTTATTTATATTCCCGGCTCGATCAAGTGTAGTCTTCGACATTGAGCTCTAAACTTGTCTCTATCGCATTCTTGACCCCGTTCCCAAGACCGAATGCATATCTGCCCTCGTCCACCACCCATTTACCCCCAATTCGGTGAGTAGCATCCCGCTTTCGAACTTGAACATTGATAGTGATGCCTTCATTCGGCCTGAGCAATGTCGTTTTCTCAAGGCAGACGAGAAGAGTCTCCTCTATTTGGTAAGCGGGCTAGTTGTAAATTTGTACAACTTTCTGGCCATCAACTGTACCTGTGTTCTTAACCAGCACCCCGACGGACCAGTAAATCCCCATTTCGTGAATATTGGCGAGGCCTGCTCGAGAACATACTATTGTCACCTAGGCCATAACCAAACCACCAAAGAGGCAGCACATTCGGGTGGTGAGCCGGCTTGCTTATCTTCATATTTGACAACTTCGTCAATACCTGGCCATGTTTCCTTGGTTCCAATAGAAGGGAAGATCTGTATAACGCCGTGGCAGGGTAACTGGGAGTCTTCAGGAGGGGTTGGTGTTTCCAAATAAGACATCTGCCGGAGCATTTCCAGATTCTTGACCTCCATACCACGCCTGAAGGAAAGTTGAGGATTTGTCAATCCATGGAAGCTCCACAGGCGACCCTGACTGATTGATGAATACGAGGCTTTTAGGACGTTCCACGCTCGATATGAGAGCTTCGACCAATTTGTCCTGGCTCCCCGGAAAAGCCATATTCTTTCTTTCATACCATTCGTTTTCCCAGTCTTCATTAAGTCCCAGCACGATTATGGTCATTGCGCTTTCGTCGGCTAGTGCGAAGGCCTCGGAAATTAGCTCCTCAGTGCTTGGGATCTGCTGGAGATACCCGATGCGGACAGAAGGATGAGCAGCAAAGGCGTGATTTGCATCAGCGCTCAATGCGTTGGCAGACAATTCGTAGGCATTGGCCCAAGCCCCCACCTGTACTATATAAGCTTTACCAGCAAGCAGAAGCTTACTGGCGGGCACTTTAGCGCTGCCAAAGGCATAGAAAGTCTCCCCAAGCTCCGTCCAGCGTGGATTGTCGATAACAAGCTGTCCACCTATCAATAGCCTTGACCCTCCAACATTGCTCAAGCTAAACGAATGTTCTCCGGTAGCCGTGGGGACCAAATTGGATGTCATGCGGTAGGGATATGGCGGGACAGGATCAACCTGGGAGAAAATATTCCAGGTTGTCCTACCTCTTACCAGTTTGTTTATACGCACTTCACTGTAGCCCGGGATTACGTTAACTTGTTCACCTGGGCAATATTCTGCCAGCATTTTTCAAAAGCTACCAAGGGCGGTCGGCACGTCCCGCGTTTCGTACCGCCTTCACGGTAAAACATCTACACCGATCGCTTCAAGGTTGACACGATTGTCGATTGTCTATATCTTCTCATCTCTCAGTGAGCAACAATCATGGTAGACGATAACCTGGGCGGTCTCTTGTCTCCTTCTCATCGAGGCCAATGCAGTGATGCTGCGAGCACAAAATCTACATATGATCCCGACGACAGCGATGAATCTCACAGCTACAGTGACGTAGCATGGTCTCCTGGTGATGGAATCTGTCCAGCAACGGCACATTTTAACCATTGCTGTCAGTCAAAATATGAAGAGTGGAAAACTGCTATCTCTGATCACCATGGCGGCTACAATTCTTTAACCTACTATACAAGGGCCTTTTTAGATCTGCTTAAAGACGTTCCCCCCTTCTTTCAATACCCACCAGAACGTGTCAACATTATGGGCAAACCAAGGTCTTTTCTTATTCTGAGGTCTTCCTTGTGCATCCAAACGACAGAAGATCAGGGTTGCACCCAACATCAGAAATCAATAGATTATCTCCAGTGCCTCGGATCACCAAAACCTATAACCTACCGCACGAAGGCCGAGACACAATTCCACGACCCTATCGTTTTCTCTGGCAATAACATTCGCTCTGGGTATTTCACAAGCATTGTTCTAGCCTGGTCGTACATTATTTCCTGTTACTGGGTGGAGACACTTCAACGGGCAGGTGAGGCAAGTCAGATCTTACACGACCGAAATACGCAGATAGAAGATTCTTTCTGGGCCATTGTCACACGGGGATGCTGGATGGCGCACGTAAAAAGACTAGATGGCGTCTTTTATTCACCATGGATGCTGAGAAGCGAGGATGCCCCCGGGAAGAAGTATGTTCTTTCAGAGTCTTTTCCGCGTCTGACTAGCTAACATACCTTAAACAGGGCCCACTGGACTCCTGTTTCATCGAAATCATCTCTTGCATTTAATATCCTCCTTAATTTCTGCGCATCAGAGGGTTTTCAAGTTGAGTGCCTTATTGGTCTTGCTTCTGTTTTAATCATAACATCACGGAACATGACCCCTCCAAAGTTTACACCTCCTGTCACAATACGGCTCACTCCTACTCACTGCCTGAAACGTCAGGATACGATATTTGATGAGCTTTTTCAATCGATCGACAAATGCATCTTTCTAAGCTCCACTCAAGACGCTCTCGACTCGTTACTTTGCAGTGCATTCTTCGATCCTTCTGTTCCATGCAATTTAGTCGGGGCTGCATCTCTCGGAGCACGAAAAGCGATTTCGACTGCAAATGTGATTGATAATCAGCAGCTTCTTAACACGATCACGCATATGAAACCACATCTGAGCATTTTATGGACTGCTGCAATATGCAACGACCAGGCAAATTCGCTGCTAAATATGGTTCTAAATAGTTTACCGCCGATATGCCTGGTGGCGGCCTTTCTAACCCACACGATTCACTCGTTTCTTCAGGTAGAATATTGCTTAAGAGACTTGGAGGAGCCTCGCATTGCTCGGGCAACTGAATTCCAGACTTCTTACTTTTGTCGGCCAGATGTATCAGTGCCATGGTCGCCAGCGCCTCCTTTCGGCGCAACTCCAATTCAAAACCTTAGCCTTGAAGTCAGAGCACATATTACACATCAGCACAAGCCAATTTCATGGAGAATCAACTGGGTCTTGGATTCCGGGGAAAGAATACCGGCGAGCAAAGTTTATCAACCTTTGGTTGCTCAGATTTACGATATATGTGACTCTTGTCCCGCAGATCAAGCCGATGAGTAAGTCTAACCAGAAGTTAACTTCTTGTACCATTAGCTAACAATTAAGGCGACCTTATTTGGAACGGGATCTTGCTGACGAACAGTCGGGCGTTGCAACATCGCGCTTGTTTAATTGGCATAGGAGTTATGATGACGGCATCTGGCTTGACGAAGGTAGTGAGGATGTTGAATTGGTTCGGGAGTTACAGAAACATCCGTGGATTGTTGATCCATTTGATAGCCTGGAAAATGAGCCAGTTGAAGAAACAAAGCACCGCAAGGTCTGCTTTGAAGCTATATCGCGATGGAATAGTGAGGTCGAAAGATTTCGGCTGTTAGGGGAAAATGCCTCACCATGATCAAGGCTTGTCCATTTTTACGCTCTGTTCCCGGACTGCTGAAGGCTATAGAGTAAAAAAGATAGCTCAAGACAGCAATAGACGATGAATATCATGCAAATGGCAAATAGTATTAACTATAATACTGCATGTTGTAGATACAAATTTCTCAGCCGACATAATCAAATTTGCCAGAGTCAGAGGCTTGTACCGTCTATGATGAAGCCATCAAGGACTGCTGCTTGCCAATGGACTACTGCTTCCTATTTCCCCGCTAGATGTATCACCTCCAGCAAAACCTGTGTTTTTATAGTCCTCTCTTTGTGCTCGAGTGACGTCTCTTTGCCTGAATGCACCGAACACAAGACCATCTCTAGCCGCAGGATGATCTTTGCATGCGTAGCATGTTCGATACGTAAAATTGGTCGAATTTGTAAAACAACCCCCGGTAATCTGACAGCGCTTCCACCGATTCCTACAACGAGGAGCCGGGCATTTGGCGGTACCATGCTCATTGTTTTGATGGAGGCAGACATCGCACGATCCTCTCAGTCCCGAGCTTGTTGACATTTCGTGGAATAAAACAGCGATTGTGGATCTGGTAAGTATAAGCTTTATAGTTATGTCTATGATTACTCGGGACTTGGGTTTTCCTCTCACATGTGTTTGTGAGAAGCCCTCGCCGTCGAAGAGTTTTGAAAGTAGCCTTCAAACTGTGATTATCGGCAACTCGCAAAGCAAAATTCTGGGGGAGTGGCTAATATTGTACCCCTATATAGGATCAGTACCCCTCTATTGATTCCTTTGCTTACCCCGCCAACAGTAGACTGACTACATTGATTGGGTATTTAGCAAACAGTTGATTGGTTATGTATGCGCGCATGGACACAGCTTCTGAGCCAGAATTATATGGGAGCCTTGCTCACCAAGACCGGATGTGTTTATCTGCCCAAGTACTTGTTTTGAAACCCATTTTTTGCAGCGGGTGGATGTGCCTCTCCAGTATATTTCACTCGCTTGTATTATCCTAACTAGTCGCTCTGACAGGCTGTCTGACGACAACGACAACACAGCTTATAGGTAGTTAGTCAGGAGATACGATCGCGCGGCTACTTGATGAGATACACCGACCACCATTTAACTACGGCCTACTTAAATTAGTCAATCGGAATACTTTCACCGCCTAAGCTATAGCTCTAGTTAACTACTGTTTATAGTGCTATAGCACTCCCGCCGTAGCACCGTAGCACCAAACCGAGTATCTAGTGCTGCTAAGCCTTGGTGCTACAGCACCGAACCAAGGGCCTGGCGGCAGCACTTGTGCTATAGCACCGGTGCTACAGGACTTGTCAAGGCCCACTCTCGATAATACGGGTTCCTAGCTGATGATTACTCGTTATATTAAGTAAGATTGACTAGTTATTAGGAGGGTATCTTTGAGCGGGGCCGTATAGATGATGAATATTACGTATTCCTTCCATATGAAGCCACATCCCAACCTCTTCGATCCTCCCCGCCGCAGCCCACCGCTACGAGTCATTTAATCTATTTGGCTTTTCGTTTCTCCATCGTCCTCTCCTCTATTGTCCAGAGAGGGGAAGACCATATTGTGGCTCATTAGCGCAATGCTTATTGAGCCATTTTGAATTTCTGTTATTCAGAACGGGCTGGGATATTTTTGCCCAGCAGGGCGTACGGAGCCCTCGGACGATGAACCTTCTGTACAGAAAACCTATTCAGAAAGAGGCTTAGTCTAGTCTGCTGGGAGGGGGTCTGCCTTTCAATCGGCGGCAAGAAAATTGATTTGATTGGGTAACACCACCTGAATAGAGGAGTGCAGGATTGGTCTACGTACCAGTGCGTTGCATGGGCACCTGAGAATTCTCCGCAATTGATTATAGTTAGGGTGTAAAAGATATTGTGTACAATGAGAGCGACCAGCTCTCTGGCGATTATGCTGACTGTCTTCAATGTAGTGTCGCGCTGCTATATCGGACAAAATTAGAGCAGAGATCGGGGAGACCTTCGCCCTTGACAGGCCAGAAACGGGACCGGAAACTTGTCCATGCATTTGGAGGCCGAAAGGAATGCAGTATTAGCTGCAGGAGGCAACTAGTATCATAATTTGAGATTATTGGACTATCCCACACCTCTTTGAATCTTTCACAGTATCGATGAGTTGGGTCCTAACAATTGTACAGAACTTTCAAGTGTCTCTGTTCTATCGCTAGCAACTGTTGCTAGTCTAGGACCTTGAGAAATTCTCTTACACGTAGGGATCTTCATCCTTTAATAACTAAGCCACCCAATAAACAATTCTCAACAGCTTCTCGCGTGCGAGGCCGGTGCCCTGACAAAATGTGATGGACTTGACTATTTGAGACTAGCCAGTGATTGACTACATAACTGGTTATCATAAAGCAAGTAAGCGCCCGGTCATACACGTGAAGAAATTATTGCAATATAAATAGCTGATAGGAGCTGTATATTGAATTTTCGATTGACACGCTTTCCTGACTTGACATCTGCGTATACAAAGTCTTATTGCAATGTCCCTACAAAACATTCGCAACTTCTCCTCTAGTGCTGGTCGAAAACTCCTCAAACTCGTTGGCAAAGTTACTTTGGAGGATGTTCGATCTGTCAATGGGCCCAAAGGTGACTAATGGGTCTCATCAGTGGCTAAAATAAATGATGATGTGGAGTCAAAAGTAAGTGCACGAAATATTTCTTATAGTCATGTCTGCTAACCATCAACAGTATAACACTGCAGCTGGATACGAGATTCAGTATGATACCCAAGACACATAGGATATGAATTTTTATTTATTTTTAACAAATATCACAGGGGAGAAATGGCTCATAAGTCCTCCAAAGACCCTTCGGACCCCGACGACGTCCTTACGATCGCATTCTACAGCCAAAATGGCACTCGGCTTCTAAGCGGTCATGTTCATGAGAATGGGACGTACAAGCTCGCCGAGAGCCGTGCAGGAAAAGGCAAGGGGCCTAAGTAGAAGTGAACCACGCATACGATCCCATGAAGGATACTTTTTCTCGGCAATCCTCAAACCCAGTTCTACGAATAGTACAAGCAGTCTCTTGGCTCACAATTGACTACCATGTTATTCATGAACTTCCTACGTAGCTTCACAGCTTGCTATATCCTTTGCGTTAGACGAAAGATTTATACTTATAGAAAGGGGCGGACTATAATTAGACGTGGTTTTATTCTGTTGAATGAACGAAGGGTGTACGTACGCCTGTCTTATAGACTTCCCGCAGAACTAAATGATGTGTTGCGGGGTAAGCAACCTTACCTATAGGTAGGTAACTATTGTGATTGGCTTACATTGTAGGCATAGATGACCAATCATGAATCTTATGTGGGTCTACCTTTGTTTTGAGCACGACGAAATTGGAAACCGGAAATGACGCAGCTTGCCTTGTCGCGACGTTAATAATTCCCCAAGGTAAGTACAGGACACTAGCTCTACTTTCACTTGACTAATTTCCTCCCAAAGATGGTTAACACTATAAAGGGAACTCTGGCCCTTATATCTCACTGTCAACTGGGTCGCATTCGCACATATCCAAAAATCCGAGATCCTCTCGTCCCACGAATTAGAATGTCATCATCGTGGTCTGGAATCACTTCTTCGCTAAGAGAGTTCGCATCGAGATCACTGAATAAGACTTCAATACCAAGCGCTCCAGAACCCCCCCGGGCTTTTCCCACTAGTGGTTACAAACCTATTGAGGCTGGACAGCTGGTGGAAGAGGAAGAACTGCCTGATTACAAAGAAGACCGGTTTTATCCCGTTCATCTAGGTGAGGTCTTCAATGATCGCTATCAAGTAATTGCAAAGCTTGGCTTTGGGACCTCATCTACCACCTGGTTGGCTCGAGACTTAAGGCATGCTCTATAACACTCCAATGTTGTATAGCCGGACTAATTTGTACAGAGCACACCAGTACGTTGCGATGAAGGTTTATGTATGTACGTCATTAGTTCACCGTGAGCTGCCATCATACCACCATATCGCCAGTCGTATGACAGACAGTTCACATGAAGGACGAGGCAACGTGCGCAGACTGTTGGATTCATTTGTTGTTAATGGTTCTAATGGCGACCATATTGTCCTTGTCTTTGAACCTGCACAAATGAGCCTTCGCGACATGAAAGTTTTATTCCGCCCGGAAGGATTTGACGAAGATTTAGTCAGGGGTGCTATTGTTGAGCTTTTGAAGGCTCTTGATTTCTTACATACATATGGGGAGATTGTCCATACGGGTATCTGTTCTATCAACAATCCTCTGGAGCTCGACACTAACCGCCACTCTAATCTAACCTAGATATCCACCCCGGAAATCTGCTCCTTGGTGTTTTTGAAAACTCCATTTTTCAGTCCATTGAAGAGAAAGAACATACCGCCCCAGTTCCCCGTAAACAAGTGTCTCCTACCCGGACAATCTATCTCTCCCGCCTGATGCGACCCAAGGGAGGTCCAATGCTGTTATCCGACTTCGGCGAAGCCAGAATTGGTCCTGGACCGCACGGTGGTGATATTATGCCATTGGAATACCGTGCCCCTGAAACGTTACTTTATGTAGGCTGGAGCTATCCAGTCGATATATGGAGCGTTGGCCTCACGGTAAGTGTATTCATCCGCTGTATTCATGCCACTGTGCCCAGGAAATAATTCCAACTCTGTGAGAAGGCGTGGGACCTTCTGGAGCCAAAAAGACTGTTTACTGCACGTGACGATGATGGCGATCTTTATGATGCTGCTCATTTGGCCCAGCTTATCGCAGCATTGGGGCCTCCTCCTGTGGAATTTCTCGCTAAAAACCCTGAGAGAAGAGCAGACTTCTGGGATGACGAAGGTATGCACAGCGCCCTGGACTGCGGATGTACTCAACTGTACGACTACGGCTTCACGTTCCATACTAATCTCTATCGCTTTAGGGAGATGGCTGGGTCTTGCACCCATACCGGAAGCTCGGACAATGGAAGCTCTTGAATGTCGCTTGAAAGAAAAATTAGGCTTTCTTAAATTCATTCGGAGGACATTGACCTGGATTCCGGAAGAGAGAGCAACTGCTAAGGAGCTTCTGCAAGACCCTTGGTTAACAGGGGGAGATTCCTAGCTCTACTTCCTTCCATATCCCTCGCATTCCTTGAGTAACTCAAAATGTGACATTGTATGAAACTGTACACATTCAGGGTCGGGTACTCTAATTTGAACGTCCGTTCCCCTCGAGATTGCATTGCGTTTGTATGCGCGTTGTGAAGGTCCAGGGCTGGAGGTGGGGCTCAGTCATCTAGCTTATGTAATCATTACCCTCAGCCCTGGAGAAGTCGTAGACCTCCCGAGGTCAGCAAGTGATTCTATACATTTGTCAGTCTGTCCATATTTCTATCTATTCCACGTTAGCTTTGGGTGAACAGTTCTAATACTTAAATAAACACTCTAAATCAATCCGATTTTTTCCTTTGATTTGGAACTTGTCGGAATGCCTTGGCCGACCGCCCGCCAAACGCCGATAGCCCCCGGGGATTGAAACGTCAACCTTACATTCTATCATTTCTTAGCATGACTCCGGCAAGATCAACGAAAACAACTGGTCTAGCCTCACTGGCTTGTACCGAGTGCAGAAAACAACATCTCAAATGTGACGCTAGTAAACCATCATGTTCACGATGTGTCCAAAATGGATTACTCTGTCAATATCTACCCTCCCGTCGGGGCGGACGCAGGAAATCACGACTTGAGAGTCCATATCAACGCCACTCGCAAACCCATGTTAACGTCAGTTCTCCTATTTATTATTTGTAGTTCTTTGCTAAATTAATTCTAGACTCGATATCAATCTACGGTCCCTGTTCTGCCAATAGCCCCTGCACAGACCACACCAGAACATCCTTCGGCGCAGGCAGGTAGGCAGACAGAACTCGATATTCCCACTGAGCCGGTCTCTTGGCCAGTGATGCTTTCGGGAAATGTTCCTGTTCAGCAAACTGTGGAACCAGCAAGAAAACTGTCGCTCCATGATGAGCGCCTGCCTCGGTTGTACTATGAAAATTTCCACGTCGCCCATCCGATCTTGGTGCCCAGCTCCTTGTATCATGACCACAATTACCCTCACTTCTTACAGCTAGCTGTGCATTTTGTGGGCTCTCATTATATTGCGTCTGTTCCGAGTCAACCATACAAGGAACAAGTCGTTGCTGAGCTGAGGACAAACCCTGATCGGTCGGCTTCCATGGTCCAAGCTTGGCTATTATATTCCATTGCCCTGTATGCTCGCGATGAATGGACTGAGGCACAAGATGCCCTCTCTCATAGCATTGATATTGCTTTGGAGCTTGGCATGAACCGTTGGTCATTTGCTTCATCCACGAACCCCGAAAGATCTCTTGAAGCAGAAAGCATGAGACGAACCTGGTGGGAACTCTACGTCACCGATATCTTCATGGCAGTCCCGCTTAAAACCACCACATTTCGGTGTAGCACAGTGTCACCGGAGGTGGCCTTACCCTGTGAAGAGTCAACGTATAATTGTGCGGGTGATATCCCAAAACCACGTATGATGATCGAGTTTAAGCGGAGGATACTCGCGGCAGAGGATACTGTCTTTTCGTCATTCAGCTACCGCATCGAGGCCACAACAATATTATGCCGAGTTCTTGTCCTGAACCGACTACGCGACTGTCATCGCGATCACCTCCAAGCTGTCGAAAATGCGCTAGTGAGCTGGATCAACCACCTACCGCCCAAAAAGCTCGACATTGTTGATTCATACGGCAACGTCGACGAAATGATGTTTCAAGCGCATTTGACAATAGCCTACGCCGCCATGCTCCTACACTTACCCCGAAGCGACCTTCCATCTGTATTGTCCCAGTCCCAACCAGATGATCGCTTCTGGCCTGGTCTAACTGGCCAGCTCTCATCAACATTCACCCGTCTAGTTCACAGCATCAAAGCCACAGAGGCTTCGAGGCGAATTTCAGATTCCATATCTGTTTGTCCAAACATCTCCAAGCACACCCCCTTCATCATCCCCGCCTTGACCCTCTGTGGACTCATCCAGCTCGCCACGTCCACCAGCCATTCCGAGGAGTGTTTCGACCATCACTGCAACCGTGTCACACTCATTCTAGGATGTCTCAAGAGCACCCAGCGGACATGGAAACTAGCCGAGTCCCTATACCATGCTATTCGGTCCTCTGCGGCGGAAGTCTTGTCGGATTCGATGGAAAAATGGAATTCGGAACCACTACATCGATTCACCCCGGCAGCCACAACCCCTAGTGACCAAGAAGGACACAGCTCCAATGCCAATCCCGCCATAATTATGCCAGACGGGCATGATTTCATGCCGCCGGAGTTTTCCCCGCAATTCATCGATCCAACTTGTTACAATGCTTCGTTTTTCAGCGCTATTCCTGACTTTGATATAAATTAGATCGGTTATACCCGGGAGCGAGTGTAGTAATTCAATATACTTTTCAAAGAAGAAAAAAAAAGAACAAAGAACTTATTACGCCCGATGTCATTTTTACCTAACGGTTTTTGGGGTAAACATCAGCTGGACTTGTCATGCAGCAAGGTGTTTATTCTATTTATATTAGGTCTCATCCAACGATAGGTAACAATGATAGGGGTCCAAACATGCATTCTTAGAGGATGTCGCAGATATGTCAAACGCCGATTGCGTGTTTTATTTTTTTTGAGTCGCCGACGGAGCCATCGATCCGACCTTTGATTGGCCCGTTGGACTCTCCCGGTGTTTCATTCAGCCACGCATCGTACCAATATCTTGTACCACAACGGGCATTTCTTGTGAAGATTAAAGATAGGTTTCTCCAAGTAACATCAGTGTTGTAAATAATATCAATTGAATGTATTACATATTCTGTCCGGTGTTATACCCGAGAAAAGTTCATGTTCGTTTATAGTAAGAAGTCCGATAGTACGGAGTATAATCTCATACAAGTATAATCCCATATGCTTTTCATTCAAACTATACATCGGGAGATAAGGCTGGAATACTCACCGACTATTTCCTTCATTCTGTCTCGATTGAATATCCGGCGATAACCATGACAACCGTCTGTGTGGTTATATACGTGGTTGATGACATAGGGATCTGCTTCATGCTTAATTTGTTCGCCGATGCGTTGATCTACAAACTCGCGCTAGTGTTGTTGTATACATATGCTGGACTACTAGTACTAATAACTCTTACATCATGAATCACACGAGAGTCGGGTACTAGGTGGTTGAACCGCAGCTGCATTATTGCGTTTGATGTTCTGGTTATGGCGTTATATGTGTTGATTTTATCTCCTCGGCCGGGTTTGGAGCGGAATTTGACCATTGAGAGAAACTAAGGAAATGGTTCGAAAACTGGAAAGACGAGTGCAAAAAATCTTGAAAATGTTGATTGTTTCAAGTTGTACTCAATTCATGTTGGGGAATACTAGTCAACTAAGGGTTGTAATGCGAGATTCTAGCATTCTCAACACCTTCTTTTTTTCTATTTAACATATTATGATATAATATACATACATTACTCGTCAATAAATACATGTTCAGGCCTCTTGGTACTATCAGGCGAGACTGTAATCGGTCTGGGGGGCGCTGGAACGCAAGGCATGGGATCAATCGGCGATTGAGATTCCATTCTTGTGATTGAGCTCGCACGGGGGAGAATCCAGGGGAAGCAGATACGAATTGATTCCCGAGATATAACTCGTCTTGTGGATCCTCTTTTGAAGCTCTCATTGCCTTCCAAGAATAATATCTCCTTTCAACATCACCCAAACTTCCATCCACAATATGCCCGCTGTCGTTCCCCTACTCCCGCTTGGCACCAGCCGATCACTAGGCAACAAGCACTACAACCCCCAGTATAGTCTAGATGATCTCATACAAGATATCAAGAACTACCTAGGCAAGAGCGGTGGTATTTCCTCAGCAGACGTGGACAACGAATACCTGATCTCGCTGGCCCAGAAGTACATCTCTGATCCGAACGACTGGGCCCGCTTTTTCTACAACGACACCAGCAAGAATTACACCCGTAATGCTATCGAAAACATTAACCAAAAAGCAAATATCGTGAGTTTTCATTCCAATCCTAGCTAGTTCTGTCAACATTGCAGCCCGAGAATTAGAGATTAACCGTTTCCCAGCTCCTTCTCGTATGGAACCCCGGGAAAGGCTCCCCCGTCCACGACCACGCCAATGCACACTGCATCATGAAAGTATTAGCTGGAACGCTACAAGAGACCATCTACAAGGTCCCTGATCAGGACTCTGATATTCATCGCCCGTTGGAAATCAAGTCTGATACGAAGCATACCATGAATGATGTCGCTTATATCTCGGATGATATCGGGCTACATCGCGTTCATAACCCGAGTAGTGACCAGGTCGCTGTCTCTCTTCACTGTAAGTGTTGCATACATCATCGAAAGGGGAAAGCGAGTACTGATAAATGTTTTTAGTATATACCCCGCCTAATGCTGCCGACTATGGGTTCAATATTTACAACGAAACGACAGGCAAGGCGAGCTTTGTACAACAAGCTCAAACTGTTCCTCAGAAGGAATGAGGGTGCCAAGGACGAGACAAGATGGTGACCTGGTTTTACTTGGTATCTTCTCTTTTGCTTTATTTTGTATGCGCCGTTAGCCTGTCAGATATGATGATATTCCACTTTGCTCGGCGCTGGCGCTGAGGAGGCCGTTTTGCTCAAGATTATGAAGCCGTTTGACATATTCCAAAACAAATTGACACAAGTCCCAATATATAGCCAAGTTAATGCGACTTGATTTTAATTGATGGGGTTGTTTCATCATCTAGGCTGAAGACATATAATGTAACCTATACTTCGCACCAGGTTCCGGAAAGGGCCGAACTCTACTCTGTACATACTATTTTAGAGTATTCAATGCTGCATCATATGAGGCTCGCAGATCTAAATGAATCATATGTCTCATGTCGGGGTCGGCGCTGATGCTCCGTGACTTCTACGGTTTTTGCGGGCTTTGGACGGAGCTCGGCTCGGGTTTCGGACTCGGTGTTGTAGAAGCGAACTACTTTAAATTGAAGATATTTATATTAACTTGCTTGATGTACGCCTGATTGCGTTAATTCAAAAAAAAAAAAAATTGTTTTCACCATGTTCACCATGTTCAGAACCCCTCTCTCCCAGTTCATTACAGCAAAATCGGCCACGGCCGTCACCGTACTAGGCGTTGGAGCTTATTGTGTCCAATCACGTCTTATATCAACTGCCAATGCAGAGTCAAATGAGCCTCCCAAAGTCTTCTCAGGATTTGGATTTACCACCTTGCGCCTACAAAGCACGCAAGATGTCAACCACAACACGAAACGCCTCGTCTTCGAGTTTCCCGACCAGAACGCCACAAGCGGATTGTCATTAACTTGTATGGGGTCTCGAATTATAAACCAACTTCCTATTAGAGATGATATAACTAACATGCTATAGCCGCACTCCTCACCATATCCCGTCCTGAAGGGCGCTGGTTTCCCGTACTACGCCCATATACACCCATCAGCGATCTAAGTACGAACAATAACCCTAAGTCCAGATATAACGATAGTTAGACTAATACAAGACCGCACAGATCAACAAGGTCATATCGAACTCATGGTCAAGAAATACCCAGATGGAAAAGCGAGCAGCCACATCCACTCCCTTTCTCCAGGAGATACCCTCACATTCGCGGCGGCACTCAAAGGACACATCTGGACACCGAATCAATCCCAGCAGATCTACCTCATAGCAGGTGGGGCCGGAATTACACCAATTTACCAGCTGGCGCAGGGTATCCTCAATAATCCAGCCGACAAAACTAAAATCAACCTCGTCTTCGGTGTCAATACTGAGAAGGACTTGCTTCTACGGGAAGAACTGGAGAGCTTTAAGACGCGCTTCCCCGGTCGCTTTGACTATGTTTATACAGTTAGTCATCCCGAGGGACAGAGTGATGGCTTCAGGAAGGGATATGTTACTGAGGAGCTGTTGCGGGATGTTGTGAAGGCCGATGACAATGCAAAGGTCTTTGTTTGTGGGCCTCCTGCTATGGAGGATTCGTTGGTTGGAACGCGTTCTAAAATGGGTACCTTGGCTCGTCTTGGGTTTGCGGAGGGTCAGATTGTGAAGTTTTAGTTTGTGACTTTTCGTGTTCTATATGTATCCAATGTATTATATGTCATATTCAGCTCCAGAGTTTCATACTGTGATTTTGAAGCTAATATATCCAATAGAGAAACCAATGAAAAATCAGAAAAGAGAACAAAATGAATTATTTATCAGATATTCGTCATTCTATCAAAATAATTGTGATCGTCGGGGACATGGTAACTAGTTAGTTAGTTATATAGCTCTTATACAAGAGAATGATTCCCAAGTCCCATTCCCTCTTCTATTTCGCAGAGAAGATATTTAATCTGATATTTAGACCTGACTCACCTATTCTGGGATAAATGCCTGCGAATTAAACCCGCCACATCGATTCATTTTGTCTCTACTCCAGTGCAAATAATGACGCGGCCTCCCGATTTAGGAACATTCGTCGTCAGCCTCATGCCGCGCCATCTGTTTCGTTTTATCAACCCTACTCTTGGTTTAGTTGTATACGTAGGGGTACTCCGCATGAGCCTATCTAATATTGTTTTCAATCTATGCTCCACTACTATGTTTCCTATTGGCCCTGAGGGAAAAAAGGTCGCAAATGAGTGACGACCATGTACCAGCTGTGGCTGTGTGGAGAATGGACAAAGAACGGGCTAGGGGGATAAGTTGTGATATTACACAGAACAAAAAGAAAAATGTACAGATGTCAGTCCAAGTCCCCAAGGGAAACCAGTATGTAAAGAATCTAGAGATATACAGAAACGTTCACTCGAGCGCAGCCGAGGATATATGACAAGAACGGAATGAAAATAACGCCAGACTGGGGGGTATGATATGCATGAAACGATCATAGCCAGAATGGTAAATACCAAATGGCCTCAGCTAACCCTCTCTTTTTTGTGTGTGTTCGTTTCGCGGTCCTTGGGGGTGCAAATTTGCAAGCCTTGTTTAGTAAAGTCTGCGGATAAAGGTTCGAAACAATGCAAATGCGAAACGAAGCAAGATGTACTGCTAATCATACAGGACTGGAAGCGGCAAAAAAAGCCACAATTTCAAGGCCGTTGGTTGGAAGCGAGAGGTATTTGTTCCATGGGGAGACCTTCCTCAGAGGCGACGTGCTGGTAGCGGCCGCTACTGCGGGCGTTGATGTGTCGCCAGAGGGTGAATCCAGCTCCGCCCAAAGTGCTCGCTACAAGGATGAAGATGAGGAGAGCCCCGATTGCGCGGATGACATCGTAGGCCTGGTAGACGGCCTTGGCGACCTCCTTCGCGTCGGTGTATTTGGAGGTTGAGCGGTCGCCAGAGCCAGTGGAGGTACCGTTGTTGACTAATTCGGCCGCTTTATCGCCGGGGCTGTCAGCAGAAGGCGTCGATTCTGTGTTATCGTTGGCAGCGACAATGATTGAGGGGTCATCAGGAGTAGGGCCAGAGTCAGCACCGGCCCAGCCGGCTGCTTTCCAGTTGGGTGGCATGCCAGTGCGCTTGATTGCAGAAGTATGCATGACGTTTCCCTCGGCATCGATTGCCTCTGCGGAAACAAAGTCCATATAGCCATCGGTGATGAACATGGTCTCGAAGTCGGTCTTGTTGGTAGTACCGATGAGCACGGGCTGGCTGCGGTCGTAGGCCTGTGCGTAGAACTTCCACTGGACGACGTCAGTCGCGCCGTTCCAGCTGACATGAATGATAGTCGTCATGTCCTCGGCGTGGGTACCGTAGACGGATGCCACTAGGTCGGGAGGCGCAGTGGGGCGACCAGTGAACTCGCCCTTGTAAGCGCGGTAGGTTGAGTACCGGTCTGATGAAAACTGAGCGGTCATTAGAAGGTCGCCGTTTGATGCGTGCTCGCTGGAGTAACCGCGTTCGCTCCATCCGACAAAAACGTTGCCGTTGGGAAGCGGGTTAGTGCTACCACGGAGTCGGGTGAGACCACTATCGGGACGATTGATTCGTTTGATAACCTTGGCGGTCATAGGGGTAACACCTGTGTCTAGCTCGACGAACAAGACAGAGGAGATCCTCTCATCGTAGCCACGTTCGTCGGAGGCATTGTTCAGGAATGAGATAACGTGACGAGTGCCGTCTGACGAGACAAACTTGACATCGTGCTGCTTGGAGAAGGTGAAGTCTTGCTCGAAGTTGCTTTCCAGTCCGCCCAAGCGCCACACGATGTTTCCATCCTTGCCAGAAATCAAGTAAATGGTATCGGTGAACCGCAATGAGATCAGGTAGTCACCGGCCGTATTCTTGTCGACCGCATTGATATGTACGTAATCCCAACCAGGCGATCCTCCGGCTGGGTTATCCCAGGCATGGAACATGTTCGACTCGTGCAGCGCAATGTGGTCTAATGAATCCCACATGACTAGAACCTCGCTGGTTTCGACATCCACCTCAACAAACCCGCCAACCGTGACCCAACTCTCTTCCGTTGGACGTCCGAAATCAGTCATGCTAACGACCTGGGGACGATATGTGCAAGCCAGGGCAGTCTTTCCTCCGTCCATAATGTTGAATTCATGCATATTAAAATCATGGACATCGCTAAGAGCCTGGACCTCTTTTTCCACCTCGTAATGGCTGTTCACAATGGCGCCGTGGCCCTTTTTGGAATTGTCGTATTCCCAACCCACGATGAAGGACAGATGGGGGTCGTCATCGATGTTGTGCACCGGCTTGAAGTCGAAGACATTCTGATTGTCGTATAAGGGTGCTCCAGCCCATATAAGGACCTGTTACCAGAGGCGAGTCAGCTGGTGCTTTTTGACCGGGTTTCGGGACCAAGACATACGCCACTGTCGTCGTAAATGTAGGGTCCGACTTGGTATTGCTGATATTTCATGGAGGGTTGTTCTGGGGAGATCTGCCCGTATGGCGCGACGAACCAGTATCCGGGGGCCAACCGCTCGCGGTCGTAGTATTCAACCTCCCATTTTAAAGCTCGGACCTCAGGGAGCTGTATTTGGCCATTAGAACCAAACGATTCCAACAATATCAAAAGTTCAACCCACCGTCACAAAAGACATTAAATCCGAGTCATGACGCTCTGCAATGGCATTACCCGATAACAGGAGTAATGCAGCCCAAAACATCATGATTAACTTAAGGAATGGCTAGGAAGATTTATATCTTCCAGAATGGAATAAAAACCGAAGGCAAAAAGGAAACGAAGGGTAAAGAGGATCACTACATAAGAGCCGATGCTAGACACGAAAACATTCAGACGGTCGTCGTCAGTGGGATCAGTAAAGAGCGGGGGGTAAACGACAGCGCTAGGCAATTAAAAGGATATATGGAGTAAAAGCTATTAAATTAAAATTAAGATAAAAGAAACTGCCGACGGAAGCTCAAGAGACGTCAAAGAGAGAAGAAAATCCCCAGGGCCAGGCCGAGCAACGTAATGAAAGTCTTGGCATTCGGTTCTGAGTGGAGAACTGAACTGCCGTTTGTCCAATAAAGTCCCTCTCCAAGTCCTCTCCAGGGGGTTAAAGTAAGTCCTCAGGGGGCTAAATGGGGCTAAATGGGGTTAAATGGGGCCTACACGTTGTTCCCACAACGGAGTCCTTCTCCTCTCGTATATTTCCCGAATTCGTATATCCATCCACTCAGTATCTATTCACTAGAAATCTAGAAATTCCGTATGATGGCGTGGCCTGCATGTCGGAGTCGGTCTGTTTTGCCTTAAACATCGTCGGGGATTTCTCCACGCGTCTTCACCGATTTTAGTGACAGGAGATCGTCCAGGGGAAAGACTTGGCATTCCACCCGAATCCGAGCCTGGTCAAGCATGGAATCGTCAGGGGTTTCCTCAATTTCCGCTGCTCCATCAGACATGATGATCACCAGAGGAAGATCCTTATCAATCTCAGAGGTTATATCCAACTGTCTACTCCACAGACTTTCCAAGTTCGCCTTTTGACTTTGAGCCATAAAATGTACCTTCACCCCACAAATCAATTTTCAAGTAAATGCCATACTTCGTTCTTTACATTCCATGTTAGCCCTAAATGAATTATCTCAATGGCTAGTACCCACGCAAGGGGGTTGTACAAGACGCCCTCATGAGTATAGACACTGCCAGCGGACTTTGCAGCGCACGACGACTGGAGGTGGAAATTACTGACGCGGATGCCATGCATGTCGTCCAATATAGCCGAGGCGTTAGGCCAGCCCCATGGGCTGGCCGATCTCGTCGAAGGCACGTAGGTGGAATCGCCTCAATCCGTGCGCAACGCGTGAATAAAATTGCTTTCCTGTCCCTGCTAGAACAGCCCCGGCGTACAAATCACCAACTCCGGCGCGGGTAGACAATCGAGCTCTCCACCGTGCCGTGGAAGTCCGGGTTGATGGTGCCAGAGGATTTTACAACTGGTCGCTTCAATGGCCAGGACTTCAGTGTCCACTGGGTCTCTAGATCGCCCTGCAACCACGCGATCACAGCGAGGCTCTATCCAGCGCAGAGTGTAGATATGGTTGATGGCGTATGGGACATACTTGGCGTTTGCCTGTGCATCGGAGAGCGATGAGAATCGAGAGTGTCAAGATACGGTAGTTACTCCGACACCTTAGATGCTTTTATGCAGGGAAGATCGCGCCTTCCCTTTTCGTCACTTCCAAACTTGGCACAATGGGTGACCGCCTGGCAGCCCGACAGCACTACACTTGTCCCAATTACGAGTTTCTGTCTCGTCTTACAACAAACAGAAGCGACAGATACCAATTCCTTTTTCAGGAAGTAGATTGAGTAAAGAAAAGCAATGTACAAAACCCCTCCTCCGTTGCACTGTAGTGGTCGGTGCTCGAACAATGTCGTCCCTTGACACCTGGTACTACAGTAACCTTGGGCGGCTATGGATGGTTCTCTAATGGAAGAATGGATTTATTAGAATTTAGGACACTATATTTCACGACTATGATTCTATCTATGTATGAGCTACCCCTGACGAAAAGAAAAAGAAACCCGTCGCAACAAGCTAGGGATTCTACCAATCCCCAACCCCGTCCCCTCAATCAAACCTTCTCAATGTCAAACCGCATCTGTATGTAGGGGATATAACGACCTCCCCAAGTCACGATCCTAGCAATGCGTCTCGTCCCTCGCGGGAAAGCCCCCAGGACCAAATAAGCCACACCCTTGGCCAACCTCGTACCCAGCAGAGCCTGATACTCAGCGGTGCCCTCTTCCCAGACACGCAGTCTGTCATCTGGCCAACCAAGACCATTCGCTGCGACATAGAGGCTCTCCTGCACAAACAGAATCGTCTCAGGGTTAATGATATTACACTGGAAGACATACTTCAGGTCCTCGATAGGGTGCTCACCCTGGTAAAAGGCCTGTGCAATTTGCGCCCAATATGCCGAGTCAGGCCGGAAGCTATCCGTGGCAAAAATTACACCTGGTCCCGTTTTCAATGTGTAGTCATGCACCCAGTACTGTCCGCGCGATACTCCAGACTTCCATAGTACGATCTTGCGGTAGACCTTTTCTCCCGAAAGCCCCAGTTCGACGGTTTCTTCGTAGATTTGGTCCGGTGGAAAGTGTCGTTTTTGATGTCGGATTCCCCATCCCGATTCTGCCATATTCTGCATCGTGAGCTGTGAGGGGCCAATTGGACAGTTTTTGGTGGGGTCTCTTATCCACGATGCCCTCAGGGCCCCTGTTGCTTGGAGTCTGTCATATTTCAATGACGGGGGTTGTTCCTCCGGTAGTTGGGCAGCAATAGCGTCGGACATGACCAATTGGTGGGGAATTTGTCGGAACAATTGATTGAGAATTGCACTTCTAGGGTTTTGGAACCGATATTTGCGCTGAGTGTAGGATGGGAAAGAATATGGAATACTGTACCTTCTCTTTTATATCTATAGCTAGGTAAGATTAGGCAAGACGAGGCAAACTACGCCATTTTACCACAAGAAAGAATGCATAGAACAGTGTCACTAGTAAGAGCTGAGAGACACACAAAGAAGACGAGGTGACCTAGACAATATTGTCTTAGGGCACAAAGGTATCTCGGAGACATCTGTGACTGCGATAACTTGCCAGGTCAAAGACACGGACAAAGACATAGTTCACAAAGACTAGAATGAATGTACCCTGTAGGAGCAGTTTATAGTCTATTGAAGATTTATTATAGACTTCTATGCATAGTAAGACATTGTGGGGGCTCATTCTTATTCTCGGGACCGTAATCTATCAAGAAACCCTACAATCCCTGCGTGCAGTGCATCAACTCTGCCAGGATTGATCTTTACGCGAACAATATATTCCTAGTCAGTTTAGATATGCTTTTGCTTTGCTTTGTTACGGTGTTCGGGTTATGGGCGACTCGGTGGCCATGCTGACAGGAGTAGATGACCTACAACGTGTACGAGTTGCGGGATCGGTATGGAGGTATGGAACAGGGAGTACAATGACCTGGGGAAGCAAGGGTGGGAGTGTTCTCTAAGGATAGTGAAAAAGCATTTCAAGGTTGTCAGGGTAGTTGACCACACCCTCATGACGGTGGGCACTAGCTTGATCCTTGACGATTGTTTCGACCTTCTGACGGGTCGATTTGTTCCGTAGGAGTCTAGCACAGACGAAAGATCCGCTATAGATACATAAATCCTACCTTGCCCTCATGTGACCCGCCGTAGACGAAGTTACCTTCGATGATATCGTTGCCTTTCCTGTCCTGTCCACGGGTCCACGGGTATCTCCCCGACTGACATAATCATGAATTTGCTGAGACGTAAAGATGGCACCAAGAGCTATTAAGTTTATCCCTTTGCTTTACCTCGATAGGTATGGTGTGATGCGTGCAAATATTATGAATATTATGTCATAATAGTTCACTGGAACATCGCTAGCAAAGTCAGATTCTGGAGATCTGAAACAAGATGGAATGTTGATCCTTTTGAAGCCTTGGAGTGAGTCCCAGATGGTTGACACCCCGGGGCGTGGATAAGCATATTGAGGCTCAAAGGGAGGACCCTGTTAGCTGCTGTGACAGGGTGACAGGGGTAAAGTCAAGTTGGATATCTCAAAGTACCAGAGACACTATACTTTTGCAGTTCTATAGTGTAAGATTACAGGTCAAGTTAAAAAGCTAAAAGGAGAAGCTAAAAGGAGAACATTTGAAGCATACAACGGTTGTAAGGAGTATCAAGAAATACAGTGCAACGCCGAATATAATTCCTAGATTAGGGTATTGGATTAAATAACAGGGATGTTTCAGTTTTTTAGATTGCCAAGAGCATTAAAAAGCGAAAATCAACTCGAGAGATGTTTTTCTAAGGGGGAAGAAACCAAAGAAAAGAGGTTTAAATAGAAGATTTAGTTCCACATGTAACCATCCCCCCCCTCTTAGTTGGGCCCCGACTACCACCGTTGCACTCAAGGGGGTCATTGAGTATGTATGGGTACATTGGGAATGCCGATGCTCCGTATTATATATTTTATGATGTTGTATGTCTATTAAATGATTTATGTTGTACTTATTATTCTACTCTATAACCATCTATTAATACGATTATACTGTTGTGATTCTCCTATATAGGAACATGTAACTCCACTCCACCTAATGTTACAGGTGTGGTATATGGAGTATAACTATGGCATATGGCATATGGTGTATGATATATGATATATGATACATGATATATTAAATAATTCTATAAAATATTGTTCAATGTGACTCTATAACAGTATAAGAAGTAATACTCCGTAGATTAACCTGCACAACATAGAAACAATAAATTACCGTTACATTACCATACCATGACCATTGCGACACCGCAAGGGCTTCTTCTCCCCCAAACAGTTGCACTCGCGGTGACACTGTCAACTCAAGAATGGGCCAATGTTGATCCATGCTTAAGGGTCAACACCCTTCTTTTCCCTCTTTTCTTCTTTTGTTCTCTCTTCTTTCCACTTTCTAAGGGTGGGGATTATTGCTTCCACACTCCCACCGATCCACTCAAGACACAACTCCAGTGGGAGTGTCACATCGGCTTGCGCCCCCCCCAAAAACCTCCGAAGGTTTATAACTTTAGATCTTTCTTCCTTTTTATCTTTGACTCTATATATCATCATAGTGAACTTCGATTCCTCGCCCCCCCCGGCTTGCGACCTCGCCTCTCCTACTCCCTCCCTTCCTCGACTATGTCGGCACCACTGGTCAAGGTGCTACACCGATTGCAAGAGTTGTTTCATAACGTGGTCGCCGCACTCGAAAGCATGATCCTATTCCCCTCCTTCTTCCGCGGCCTATCGCGACGCCGTCGAAAAACGTTCCTAGGCGCCCATTGGAAACGCCGCAGCCTCGATGACTTCGCCGAAGAAGTGGAGACCATGTGTTCGACGCCGCTATCAACGCGCAACATGGTCGACATGTCCGAGAAGATTCGCGCACAGTTCCGGGAATGTTTACAGACTAGCCCATTCTGCATGCTTCCATCCTACGATACCACGCTCCCCGCTGGCTCGGAAGAGGGTACATATTTGGCATTGGACGTGGGCGGATCAACGTTTCGCGTAGCTTTGATTGAATTAAATGGTCGGGATGAGGAAGTGCGCATCTTGAAAGTGTCATCAGTACACATTGACGAACAACTCAAGATGCTAGAGGGGACACAGTTTTTCGATTGGATGGCAGGGCAGATTGAAACCATTCTAAAGGAAGTTGGAGCAGACTACGGGCGTGGCGATGTACCGCTGGGGATGGGGTTGTCCTGGTCTTTCCCCATTGAACAGACGTCGCACAACAGCGGGTTGGTAATCCATATGGGTAAGGGATTCAAAGCCTCCAATGGCACGGTAGGCCAGGAATTGGGTGATCTCTTGATACAGTCCTGTCGCAAGCGCAATTTGAACGTAGAGGTTGCCGCTATCGTGAACGACAGCTCGGCAGCGTTACTGTCGCGCGCCTACGTCGATCCCAAGACCCGCATGTCTCTCATCTTGGGTACCGGTACCAACATGGCGATTCACTTCCCCGTGCAGGAGATTGGAACGTCCAAGTTCGGAGTCCGTCCGAAGGGCTGGTTCGACCACGCCAAGCATGTTCTCATCAACACCGAGATGAGTATGTTTGGTGGGGGCGTGCTGCCCATGACACGGTGGGATGACATACTGAACCGCACGCATCTGCGTCCCGACTACCAGCCGCTCGAGTACATGATCACAGGTCGGTACCTGGGCGAGATCGTGCGTCTGATTATTGTCGAGGCAACTGAGAACGCCCGTCTATTCGGCGGCGAACTACCACACTCCATGCGTGAACCTTACTCCCTTGACACAAGCATCATTGCCTGCCTTGAGGACGACTCCTCTGCCTCCCTCTCCACCTCCGCAACCCTCCTGCAAAAGCAGCATACCTTCCACAACCAACCTTCTCTCGAAGACCTGCGATTCCTGCGCCGCATCTCTCAGACAGTCTCCCGCCGTGCCGCTGGATACCTGGCGACAGCCATCCACAGCATGTGGTGCCTCCGTAACGAGGTGGAATTCCCCGCACCCCCATCCACCGTCGATTCTCTCGATAAAGAATCGCCTGAAATCACCGTCATCGAGAACGGGCACTCGGATAAGAACCTTTCTATCGCATGCGACGGTGCTGTCATCAACAAGTATCCTGGCTTCCGCGCTGCTTGCCAGAACTACCTGGATCAGTTGACCGAGAAAACGTATCCTGGTGCCGGATGCTCCATCCGTCTCAATCCGGCGCCTGAAAGCGCCATTCTCGGTGCGGCAGTCGCAGTGGCAATCTCCGTTGCCGAGAAATCCACTGAGCTATAAATCTGCTGGATAACAGGAGTGATGCATGAACCAAACGCTGAGCGTAGATCTCTGGCTGTCTCTTTCGTTGTGATTTTCTTTATAACCATGCCCATCGGACCATCGGCGCATGATATGTGATGGGTTTCCGTGGCCTTTTTGTTTTCTCATCTGCATGGGCATCCCCGGATGGGAGTTGTGGAGAGAGCGTTTTTTTTCCCTTGCCTTTTCAACAGTCGAATCGTTTAGCATCAACACGGAGTTTCTGGCTGGAAACCACATGGGTTTCTCGATATGGTTTTTATTAGGTTTTTCATCCTGGAGTTCGGTCTCGTTCTTCATCTCATTTTTATTAACGGGTCCTACGTTTTCTCGAATTCAAGGTGGCACATTTGATTTCGTCCATTCTTTTCTATTCTTTTCTTTACTTGACCCCTATGTGGATTCAACCCTATTACTATGCCTCTTTAAAGTTCCCTATTGCATGAACTGGCTCTATTATATATACTACTGCCCATTGCCCTAAAACACCTAAGGCTCATCTGGATAGGTAACATATTTCATACCATTACTACTGATAATTCTTTAGTTTTTGATTCTTTCCAGCTCAAGTTCCTGCTACCCAACATAGCTTTGCTCTTCGCTATATGCTATATCTGTAGTACGCAATTCAACCATGCCCACGTCTCAATCTGCTATAATGAAGCACATGTTCACGAATCAGTCTGATGATCACTTTCATGAACCCTAATAGTAATATACACGATCATTCCCTTAGGCAAAGAACTGACCTATGTTGTACATCGTAATTGTAACTGTTGGTTACTGTTGTACAGAGTACATCCGAACTGTGCAGTGTTACATAGGGAGAACTGACGCTTGGAAGTCTCAAATGAAAGCAATCTACAGATATTCAGGACGCATATAAAATATACATAAGATCGAACGGCTCGTATACTGCCCATCACTCCAATGC